TTATGCCTTTTAAATCTCTTTTAATCTACAGGTTCTACCTCTACCCCTTTCTTTTCCTTACACTATACCTGTTAACGAGCCTGAACTATTTAATCTCTAGAATGTCTCCTAGTCTGGAGCTTGCTCAGCGCACATACATGGTGCAGTTCAATGTACTTATTTGTTCTCTGTCCTGTCAGTTCAGTTATAATACTTGTGTTGAAAATGCACACTTGTTTTACCTTGATTGATATATGAGGATGGCCTTGAGTGTAAGAATTCCACCCCTGCTTATGTGCAGTTTCCTCTGGGAGAAACACAGGTGAATGTAGAAAACTGCACCCAGCTGAACTGAGCTGAGCTGCAGAGGAATACACGCACCTCAGACATCCATTCGCTACCTCAGGTCACCGTGTTGTGAGTCACATCTGGTGTTACAACTGGCCTCCGATGTGAGGGAACCCTCCTTCCACCACTTCAGAATCACTCACCAGCTGCAACTCTTCTCACGACACCTCCTCGAATGTCAGGGAGTTTAAAAGGCTGAGTGCCATATTTATTATAGTATTTATGTGTTTCTTGACCATATCATATATGTAAAACTGAGTTACTGTTTTTATAGGTTACTATCTTACTTTTTAATGTGTCACTGAGGAAGTTTTTTTACCTCATTTTTGCCATAAATCCTGTGGTTTTTATTGCATGATTTTATATAGCACAGAGATCTTCAGAACACTTGTTTTAGGACTGGTTGTATGTCTTGCAAGTTAGCAGCTGGGTCCAGAAGCTTGATCAGACTCCTGTCCTATCCCTTTGGTAGAGTGTTCTCTCAACACAAGGCTCATAAACGTCTTGCCTATGACGTTTTAGTGCAGGTAACAGATATCAGCGCAGCAAATGTCTAGATCCATTATTTCACTGGGGTCAGCAAAATGGTGATATTCTAATTCTATTACTTCCTTTTCATTAATAATTGGAATATTTTTATAATTAAATGTTTCCCCTTATCTACAATTTGGTCCAGCTCACATAGGAAAGGCAAGATAAGTGCTTGATTCTTTCCCTAAATTTATCAGTTTTCAAGATAATGAATTCATTTCCTGTCATTTCCCCAACGGCAAGCAATTAGGCTTTATTTTATAATATAATATCATCATGAACTCATGGATTTAAAACACATGTTGGGTTTTAATCAATTGCAACTATTATTCAAATTACTCTGTCTGGCTGGTGAGAACTTCTTCAAATTGGCTCCTGAGGCCTTTGACATGACCCTCATAAATCTTTAACAGCATTCTTGCTATCTGATGATAGCATGACTGAACATGAGGTTCCAGGCTCATTTTGTAATTTCCTGTGCCAGGACTGGAATCTGACATTTCTCCCAGAAGCCCTGGTTTCTTTAAGTAAGAAGTGACATTTCAAAACAACAATCTAAATGCTAGCAGTGGGGCCGGCCGAGTGGCACGATGGTTAAGAACTCGCTTGGGATGCCAGAGGGCCCCGGTTCGGATCCCACATATGAGGGCCAGTGACACTGCCCTCTACAGCTAAGATGCTGAACAACAGCTCAACCTGGAGCTGGGCTGCCGGGAGTCGCCGGCGACGGCGTAGGCTGCAGCCCCTGTGGCAGTGGGTTGCCATGGGCTACTGTATGTAGCCAGCAGCCAGCGTGAGCGGCCAGCAGCCGTAGTGAGCGGTCGTCCAGAGGCCGGTGACTGATCTGCCTCGCCAGAGAAGAGCGCGATGATGGTGCCAACTTGGGCCAGTGAAGCGACATCCTCCACAACTAGATTGAAGAACAAAAGGACAGCAACTTGTCTGTTCCCCTTCCCCCAACTCCCCAGCACTGTTCCTATCCCCCTAATTCCCCAATAAAAATCTTAAAAAAAAAAAAAAATGCTAGCAGTGTGTCACCACTGGATTGGTCATTGTTCGTAGGCCAATTCAGTATACAGAGCCAATACATATACATATACATATATATATATACATACACATACACATACACATATACATATACATATACATAGGATATCAAAAGAATGTATACACATTTTTAAGAAAGGAAAAACCTGTATTAAAATTATGCTGATGGTAACCACTTTGAGCACCTCTTGTAATTGCAGAAGTCAAAAGTGACTTGTATTCATCTTTTGTTATCAGCATATATTGAGTATTACAATTTTAGTAGCGTTTTCCTTTTTAAAAATGTATATACATTTTTTTGGCACCCTCTGTGTGTGTGTGTGTGTGTGTGTATGATACTTCTTAAGTTTAAAGTGATATTTCCAATTCAAGTTCAGAACTATGGAATATCTTACTTATTAGCTTCTATGTTATTTCATCTGTCTCCCCTTCTTTACACAGTGAAAATCCTGATTCTCAAGGACACAGGAAATAATGAAATTAGAATATCCCTTAATTACTGACTTTCCCACATTACATACATACACAACAATCTCAGATTAACAGTATTAATTATAGCACAAATATAACTACTGAAAATAGTTTTAAAATTTTTTGCAAGTATTCTCATTTTTTCATTTTTTTAAATAGTTGGACTAAGCACATAGTTGTTACATATCATACTCTTACCCTTTTGATCCTTGTTAAATTTTAGTTTTATAAGTCACTATATGATTAATGCTCGCCACTGGTCCTTATGTCAAGGTCTCTCCTGTATTTTGCTTGTGTGAAATTCATTCTACGGTCAGTTCCTCAGGAAGGGCTCCTGGCCACACTATTCCCTGAAGTTTTACATGTTCTTAACTCTGTGTGCCCTTTTATAATTCAAATTCAGGTTGGCTGGATATAAAATTCTTAGCTCACATTTCCTTTCTTTGAGAATCACAACTGTATTACCCCATAAGAATATGATATCAAAGAATATGATGACAATCTACTTTTCTTTTCCTTGTAAATCACTTGCTCTTTTTGCCTAGCTTTTTCTTGTTCTTTAATGTCCAATCATGTTATTAAAATAGATCTTAGGGCCAGCCGAGTGGCGCGTTGGTTAAGAGCTGGCTTGAGACGCCAGAGGGCCCCGGTTCGGAACCCACATATGAGGGCCAGTGACACTGCCCTCTACAGCTAAGAAGCTGAACAACAGCTCAACCTGGAGCTGGGCTGCCATGAGTCACTGGCGACCGCGTGGGCTGCAGCCCCTGCTGCAGTGGGTTGCCATGGGCTACCGTGTGTAGCCAGCAGCCGCTGTGAGCAGCCGTCCAGAAGCCAGCGACTGATTTGCCTCACCTGGGAAGAGCGCAATGATGCTGCCAACTGGGCCAGTGAAGCAACGTCCTCCACAACTAGACTGAAGAACAAAATGACAGCAACTTGTCTGTTCCCCTTCCCCCAATTCCCCAGCGCTGCTCCCATCCCCCCAATTCCCCAATAAAAATCTTAAAAAAAACCCCACTAGATCTTAGTGTTGCTTGCTCTGGTCAGTATTAAGTACAATGTGCTCTTTCAATAAGTATCTTCAAGTTTTTTAAACATAAATTTTTACTAAAAGTATAAGCATATAATAAAATGCCTAGATCTTAGATGTTCAGTTTGATAACTGTGTATAGTTGTGTAACCACTACCCAAAACAAAATGTAGAGCATCAAGTCCTTTTTTATTTCAGGGAAGTTTTCTTCAATTATATTTCTCAGTATTTGTTCCATTCCCTTGTATTGGTTTAATCTTCAGGGATAGTTATCTATTTGTTGGATATTTTCTATCTTTAAAATTTGTCACTTTCTTATAAATCCCTTTTATCTTCATCTCTTTTTTGTTTTTTAAAAACTTACTCCTTTTATCTTCTCCTTCTTTTAAGACACATGTGTTTATTTAGTTTTGTGTTTCTTCTAGTTTGTTTATTTCTGAAATTTTCTTTTACTGTTAATTCTTTCCTCAGTTCTTTAACCTCATATCTGAGTTTTTCTAATTCTGATTTATGAGTTCTTTCCTGTCTTGTATCATTTTCTTAATGTCTTTTAGCTCATTGTGAAATTTGTCAGTTTTGAACTGTGTTTTGTGAGCATGTCTTTCTAGTGTGCTTTCATTGATCTTCTAATAACCATGACTTTTTGCTGCTCATTTTAATGTAAAATTAGTTTTCCTAAATGTTGAAAAGCAGGTGTGTGGCTTTAGATGGAAAGTAGCTTTTCTAACTTCACAAAGCTCCCTTTTGTGCCCTTTTCAACAATATGGTAGCTTGCTTTCTGAGATTTCCTGCTCTGTCCCATTCAGTCTTTATCACTGTTGTCCATATATCCTGCATAATTCTGACTTGGTTCCCAGCAATTCCTCTTTAATGTGAGCCTGTCCTGGCAGACAGCCATTTCAGATCAGATTAGACAGTTCACAGAGGTTAGACTGCTCCAGCCACTTCACATGTTATTAGGGGACCCATGCACTCACCAGCCATTAGCTGTCTTGGGGTTCTATTATGCTCAGGTTCCTCAGACACCCTACTTTCTCCCACACAGATACCAATACCATGCAGGTCTCGTGGTTGTTGGTAGTCTGTCCTCACCTGTTTGTACTTTGCAATTCCTGTAACTAGTCTATCACCTAGTTTTGTTATAAATGTTATCCATGGGCTTTCAGTTTTTCTAATTCTTTTGTCTGTTTTTATGTTGAGATTTTAAAAAATTAAAAAACTATGCCGCCATCACTGCCATCTTCCCAAGATCCCAGACAGCCTTAACAGGATGATTATCAAGGTACCAATTCTGAGAATGGCAAATTACAAGCCTTAAAAATATCAATTCCCTTTAACCTTATAATCCTAATTCTAGGAATTTATCCTAAAGAAATAATATAATTAGGTGAGTGAAACAAAGGTGTGTACAAAGCTATTCTGGACTCGACTGGGGTGCCCTCCCCTCACCCCCATTTTTAACTCCCACTTTAAGTATGTGTACCTTTAGTATGTTATCCCAAACACTATCTTATTTGGAACTGTAAATTGTCCTGTCCTGTTAACCTTGAATAATCAACTAATATATGTTGATTTGAAAGATACATACCTTCAAATGTTGGTCCATAAATCGACTCTCCACCATCTCCTCTTCCAGCTACTATGTCTGAAAAATAACAATAAATAAACATTAGAATTCTGAGACTGAAAACGAGCATACAATAATGGCAGGGGAAAAATGCTTTAAATTATGATTCCCCTTATACCAATGGCTATAGTAAGTTACCTAATTGTTCAACATCTATACCATGAACATATTACTTTAATGCTTTCTTTTGTATTTTGTAAGCACTGTTACATTCAAGGCCCTATTTTTTTCCTAATACCTCTTGGACATAGGTTAAATTATAATGCCAGACTCTGAAATGATAAAGTATTAAATTATAATTGTGGTCGCTATTTTTAAAAAATGTGTTCATATAAATTCGGCTGACTTCACAAGTTAGTCCATAGTCCACCTTATTTTTCAGAAAAAATGGAAAGATTAAACTGAGTGGATGATATAAGAACAGTAAGATCTTTTTAGAACAAGAAAATAGATGCTTTAAAGAGAATTATTGTTCAAATTTTCATTCCCGGGAACCCTTATAGTGATAACTCATTTATCCAATACGTTGGGAATGAAGCTCCTTTGTAATATAATGAAGTTTTTTTTTAAAGGTATTTACATGACCTATTTTGCATTATATACATAATATGCATATTTTGGCTTAGGCAATGCTCCTATTATAAAACTCTTTCATGTACAGGTTATTTTTTTATCTAACCATCGCTAAAAGGAAAGCAAAGCTAACTCGTGAAACTGAAGGTCTCTGAGGTCTGTCTTTGTACCTCCAGCCCCAGCACCTCTTTACTTCCTCAGATCTCTAGTCCACCCTCCTTGAATATGGCATGAAATAAGTATCTGTTGAAGGACTGTGCAACTTCAATTCAGTATGAGCGATTTATCTATAATGGAAGTGTCTGTGCTATTTTAAAGAAATCTGACGCAACAGCAGGCATGTGGAGAGAATTTACACAGGAGAGGACAGGTAGCATTTAAACCATACTATTCATAGAGCAGGTTCAGAAGCTAATTGATAAACCTTAACCTCCAGCCCTACTCCGCCTATCACTGCCCCCACGGTTCACCCCAGAGTCCTCAGCAGCTCTCAGGAGCATGCTGCAATGGCTAAAGGCAAAATCCAGAAATGGGGAAGGTGAGGATCCCCGGGCACCAATTCTTTCAGATACAAAGTTTGCTTTGTTCAGACAGATCTGCCCAGATGGTTCCCCTCCGCTACTAACAACGTAGACACCAGTGACACTCCTTTGCTCTGTCTGGCCAAAGCCCGTCATACTCTTGCCCTTTGATTTAGATCTCTCAGGTGAGTTTTTTATATTGCCATCAATCAGTACTTACCTTTTTTTGTGGCCATAACCCACCCCCTTGAATTCAGCCTTGTATATCTGGTATTATTTCTACACTGTTGACAACAAATTCAGCAATGCAGAATAGTGGTTAAAGTAAACTTTAAAGTCAGATGGTTTTGATTTAAATCTTGATATTAGTTACGTTTTCCGAGCCTGTTTCCTCATGTGTATAGACATAGTGCCTTCCAGGTAGTTCTCAGGGTTAAATGAGCTCATGTGGGTAGAGCACTTAGTGCAGTGCCTAGCAGAGTGTCATGCTTGTTCATTAGTGGCTGTTATTGTGCAGCAGCATGTGGGAAACCAAGCTGATTTACATATAACATGCTTGGGTTAAATCTACATTTTTCTCCTCAGCAGCCTCAGAATGTTCCATATTATTGAAAAATGAAAGATTATTAATTTAAGCCTCTGCATATTTCATTAAGTTCAAGCAAATATCCTTCTGTATGAAGCCAATTATTTTTAAATAGCTGCCTGATGGCTCCTTATGGGGTATTTCCCAAAAGGCCTTCAAAATTTAATTTTGTGCTGTTCATCAGCCACCTAGTCTGTGTAAAAGCGAAAGGACTGACCTGAAAAGAAAGCAAAATGGAGGCCAAAATGCTCTAGCTCTTACTTTTCAGTTGTAACATCTTTGGTGAGAAAGAACTTGTTTTCCATTTATTCTACTTTCAAATTCCTACCTTTAGTATGTTTCTTGAAAGCACTGTGTTTTTTAAGAACTCTTAAGTGAGCATTTAAAACTACATTTTTATTTAAAAAAATGTTATCCTACTTTCTTATGACTTTTTATTTTGGGACATTTCTGCTAACATACCTTAGATTTGTCTATTTTAACAATTAGGGAATTTTTGGGCCGGCCGAGTGGCGTTTTGGTTAAGAGTTGGTTTGGGACGCCAGCTCTGAGCAGCAGGGCCCCGGTTCGGAGCACACATTAGGGTCAGTGACACTGCCCTCTACAGCTAAGATGGTGAACAACAGCTCAACTTGGAGCTGGGCTGTCGTGAGTCGCCAGTGACGGCATAGGCTGCAGTGGGGCTGCAGTAGGCGGCTGTAAGCTACCGTGAGTGGCCGGCAGTCAGCGTGAGCGGCCGGCAGCCGGCGAGAGCTGCCATGAGCTGCAGTGAGCGGCTATCCAATGGCTGGTGACCTATCTGCCTCACCAGGGAAGAGCGCAATGATCACAATACCAACATGGGCCAGTGAAGCCACGTCCTCCACAACTAGTCCGAAGAACAAAAAGACAGCAACTTGTCTGTTCCCCTTCCCTGATTCCCCAACACTGTTCCCTCCCCCAATTCCCCAATAAAATCTTAAAAAAAAAAAATTAAAAAAAAAAACAAAAAACAAAAAAACAATTAGGGGATTTTTAAAAAGAGTATAAATATCTTAATTCATCATTTGGCCATATAAAACACCCTTTAAATGAATATAACATCTAATATTAACTATATCTAATTCTATATGCATTTCAGAAAGGTAGATAAACAACGTTTTGGACACTCTGATTTGATGTTGCAGTTAAGTTGTATTTAAGATTTCAGACTCACCTCCTCCTTGTATCCAACCATTCTGTACTACTCGATGAAAAATCGAACCTGCATAGTGGAGCCTGATGCCACTTTGAGAAAACCCTGCTTTTCCTGTGCACAAGACCTGAAAATTTTTACATGTTTTGGGACATGCATCACAGTATAGCTACAAAATAAACAGGAAAGGTTTCGAAGATTAAGTCTTTGAAGTTTTGACAGTTACAGGTTCCCATTTCCCTCAACTCATTAAGACAAACAAAAAACTTTCTTACCTCAAAAATCAATCTTCCAATTGGATCAAAACCAATAGAAATATCCAAGAACACAAAATCATGCTATTAAAATTCAGGAGAAAAAGATAATGCAGGTCAATGTCTTGGAAGGAAACTTCAGAAATGACCAAAGGTAAAACAGAGTAATGTTTTCATTGATAAGATGTCAATAGCATTAACAGTGGAGAATGTAACAGCAAAATTAAAGGAATGATGTAAAGAAGTTTGTTTCATTTTATTATATCAAGTCTTTACAACCTGAATAACACACCTTTTAAAAACCCTTCAGTAGCAAAGCTTTAACTAACATGAACCTGTCTCCAACACTGAGAACACATGGCCTAGATATCCCCACATTGCTAACTGGGCGTGGAAAAGGACACTGGGGAGAAGAGGCAGGCTGGAGATGCTTTTCTTTCCTGAGTAATTTTTGGGAAAGAGCCAACGTGAGCACCATGGATTTGGTTACCGTGTGTTCTGGATTTTCAGAGACAGCTCGGATTAGCAAACCAGAGCCAGGCTAGCCTTTCTGAGAGGGAAAATAAGGGCACTAAATCCATAAGAGGTGTGATTCCTGGGGTAAGGAAGAGAGATGCTGTGCTTTTGAGTTATTTCAATCATGTCCTCATGTTCCCAGAGGACTCCACCTCTTGTTTTCAATTGACATCCTTTCTGGTAGAGACAACTAACATATGTGAGATCTTGTCTAGCCCTACAAAGAGGCTTCCAAAATGAAAACACTAGTCTCAAGCACAGGAGCATTCATTTAGAGAGCAAAGCACATCTAATGGAATACATTTTGAATCTCAGACACCATTCTCACACATGAAAATGCCGCCTGATTTAATAAAGTACATAATTTGCCCCACCCTATTTCTTAAGAATCTAGGAAACATAAATGAAATCACTTTTAAGTGTATCACTGTTATTGATTTTATGTCCTTCTAACCCTTTTTCTTAAAAGACTGAAATAATATTGTGCTATCCAGGAAGGAAGTATTACATCTACACTAATTATAATTAATTTGTTTGTGCCTCTCAGCTCCTGTACTACAAGTTATTAATTATAAAAGAATGCTAGAACTTTAGAATAAGAGGCATAATATAGTAAACTTACCAGGCTTAGGATATATTAGAGGATATAAAAGAGGATATATTAGAAATCGCAACAATATCTTATTTTTATGGGGTTGTCAAGACTAGATAATTCTGAAAATTCTAATGAAGAGAGCAAATAAATGCAACGCAAGATAATGTCACCTAGCAGCCAAACACACAAACACAATTATCTAGCATATCAATCTATACCAGAAGTACACAAGTCCTTGGGTTTTATTCAGCAAGAAAAATCTACTGGGCAAAAAAACCTAAGATTTTCTCTGGACTCTAGGTCCTCTCTCCTCACTGCCACTAATGAATTCAAGCTGTCTTTATCTCTAGACCACGCTACCATAGGAGCTTCCCAAATGGCTGCCCTGCCACCGGGCTTTCCCCACTCCAGCCTGTTTCTGCACAGCCCTAGAAGTTTTTCCAAAAAAACAAAGAGGATTATGTCATACTCTTTATGAAAAGTTCTGTTGGGTTGGTTTCCTTCTAGATAAAAATCTAGCTCCTCAGGGCTGGCTGAGTGGCTCAGTTGGTTAAGAGCTCGCTCAAGAGTTTGAGCTCTGAGCAACAGCGGTTCGAGTCAGCCCGAGCTGAGCAGCCGTGAGCTGCCAACAGGTGGCGGGATGGCTCAGCTAAAAAAAAAAAAAAAATCTAGCTCCTTGGTTCAGAATAAATGGTAAGCTCAACCTTTCTTTGGTGAAACTGTTTGGGTTTTTTTCCTACATAACAGCTATAAATAAATACCATTCCTATTTGGGGACCTCCCACAGGGCCCCACCACCCTCTACAGAACCTAAAGGGCCAGATTCTCCTTCTCCCTATCCTGTGGGAGTCAGGGTGTAGGGATATGACCTGGGATCCACTAGTTAGGTGCTCCTGCCTGGGGCCTTGGCCCTCCAGGGAGTGACAAAGACACAAGGAGAGCTGAGAAGTTATTCTCAGTGCAGGTGGCAATTCAAACCCAGGCTAGTGGGCACCCATGGTAGATCCCGGCTGCACACATCTGGGGTGTGATCATTTTCCTATTTCCAGGCCTCACTTGGTTCCCACCTGTTTTCCAAAGCCGGTTCTCCAGCTTTCCCATCAATGGTGAGGTTACCAATATCCTTTTAATACATACCTTTTCTCCTTAAGTGAATCAGAGTAGCTTGGTATTGACGGCACTAAGAATCCTGACCAATACTTTTTCCCAGCCTCATTTCCCCACTAATTCTGTCTTCCTTGCTGTCCCCTGCTAGTCCCTTCGACTCCCGTCCCTTTGGGAATTGACTGCTGTGCATATTAAATTCCTTCCCACACCCCAGAGTTTCTAGCATTTTCCAAGTGCATTGTTTATTCACCCAAGCATTCACTGAGCACCTACCATGTTTCAGATTCTGTTCAAGGAAGTGGTTAAACAAGGATGAACGGGGCAGGCTTTTGCACAGCTCAGAAAGGCCTTGGGTCTTTCCAGGGGACCAGGCTACCATGAGCATGAAGTGATTTTTCAGCATGTGGTAGTTGTTACCACAGGGTTTCTGAGCAACATCACAATTTACCTCTATTGCCATCCCACCCTGATATCTGTCTCACTCTGGACCTCAAACTTCATGACTGTCCACTGCCATCAAAAACCTCCTCAATGCCATAGCTTCTTTGGTCCTGCTCTCACCAACTATGTGTCATGCTTTAAAATGGCAGCTTCTCAAACTTTCCATTCTCTTAGTGCAGTAGCTCTCACTTAGATGTTAGAAAGTATTAATTAAAATATTCCATAAAGGTGAATGAGTGATAGGCTCAACCTTCTTGGGTGGGGAGTCTTAATATTTAAAAAAGGGTAATAATGCATATAAACCTCTAAGGGGAGTAGAAATGTTGGAACAGGGATGCTCTTCTCCCTGTCCAACCTGCCTGCTGTGAGATAAGCTTGCTTTCTTTACACACCATCAAGTCAAACCCTGTCATATTATAATCCTTTGCAACTGAATCATAAGGTCATTGAGAACTTAAAACCTGGTCTCCTATTCTTTTATATTCCCTTCGTTAGGACATCAGGGATTAATGCTGAATCAATATAAATGATCAAAGATTCCACTATTTTTCTTTAAAAATTCATGTAACTTGCCTTCGTGTCTCTTAAGAATTTAGCAGAATAATCCACAGTCAGTGCATCATAAAGTGCAGGGGGCTTAAAATCAACTATATCCCACACCTTGTGGGCCCATTTCTGAAGATCAAGTGCATCACCCAGGAGCTGATCATTAATAAAACACATGACATGGGAAGAATATTCCCAGACTTCATTCTTAAGTTCCTGTAAAGGAAAAGGACAACAACAACAAAATGTAACAAAGAAGAAAAAAAACTTGCTAAACCCACAAGCCAGAGCTTGGGCTTACTTAACTCTAGGACTGACTCTTTAAAAAATATATTTTTTGCCATCTTTCAAAATTTGCTCTTAAAAATTTTTGAGAACATTTTCAAGAATCTGACATCACTGAAATCTGACATCACTGAAAGCAAAAAATGGCCTAGAAGTAATCTTTAAAATGGTAGAATCATAGAAAATAGATGGTAATCTGGTAATAAAAATCTGTGTGCATAGCAAACTTGTTACATTAACTTGAAAACAATAGGCAGTCTCTGGCGTCATTTCTGAAGCACATTCTACTGTGTGCACATGTGAAAAGGTCAGGGCTTCTGAGTAAGGCTTGTTTTTCAGTGCCAAGGATGGGAGGAATGCTTTTTTGATGGAGGGAGATCAGCGTGAGGAAATGCCTCCTGAGCGGGGATTTCCTGGCACGCCAGGGGCCACGAGGAAAAGAACTCATCATAACAACAATTTCAAGTTCTAAGCCCTTCAAAATGAAATGCGTTAGTGTTTTCATCCACACACCACCAATGGCCAACCTCCTAAATCCCGGTGTGTGGCCACTGGGTAATGTCCCTTCTGAGGAGATCCGGTTTATTATTACCCAGTGCCAGTCCTGGCAACAGCATGGATAATTCGGGACAGCTGAGCTCCCAATTTTAGCGGGCAATCAGAATTATAGATTCCTGACCCCCACCCAAGCTTCTGATTCTGAGGAGGGGCCTGAGAATTTGCATTTCTGACAACATCCAGGAGATGTAGACGCTGCTGCTCTGGAGACTGCACTTAGAAAAATGCTGGTTTGAGGAACAGTCTATCTTCAGCTTGCCAGCTTGCTCCATACCCAGCTCCTCTCTCTTGCATTTCATATTCGGTTGCTCAGTTCCCATGTCCTTGTCAAAAAGTGCCTTGAGGATGAGAATAAACTTGTTCATGCTGAACTGTAAAATACTGAGAGAGCCTATGGGTCAATATTCCCCAGACTGTTTAAATTTACCAATGTTAAATTTATAGGACACAAAATTTTGAAAAGGGGAGAAAAAATTTAATTGTGGCTATTTTAGTTCGCTTGGTGGGAGAAACGCAGCAGATGTAAATGCCTTGTCTCTGTGTGTCTTCTATACATGAGGTGACCTCTTCGCTTGCCTCAAGATAGCAGGCTGGATTTGATTGCTTCTGGGAACACGGATGTATGATGCTGCCTTCTTCGGAGAGAAAGGCATTTCAAAAGCCCTGAAGCCACCCCCCAGGGGTGCATTACATTCTGCTGAATGGAAAGGCTAGCCTTTCCCTTCACATGTGCTAAGAAGCATTACATGTAACACAACGCAACACTTACAGTGAAGGACAAAATACTGGCCTGAAAAGGAAGGAAAGATTAAAATTACAAGTACCCAGGGCATGAGGGAGACAGAAGGAAGAAAGGATAAGGAATAAAGAATAGGTGGGAAGCAGCAGCAATGATTCCCTAGAAAGCCTCACTCAGGCCCCATGAGAAAAGCAAGAGGAAGAGAACATAAACCATCTCAAGGTCAATGAACCAGGCAGAAAAGGACAGGAAATTGCAGAATGGAAACCACCCCAAACTTAAAGAGTAGAGTGGGAATATGTAAGAGAAGCAGGTGCAAAAAAAAAGCATAATAGCATGGCTCTCCTGGATGTGGGAGAGCATGATGCTGGTGGGCAGTATAGTAAGTTTGATGATAAAAAGAAAACATTATTTTATGTTAGGGTGACCAACTGTCCTGGTTTGCCCAGGACTGTCTCAGCTTTAGCATTAAAATTTCTGCACCCCAGGAAACCCCTCAGTCCCAGACAAACCAGGGCCATTGAACACCCCAGTTGTAAGGATTAGAGTTAATATATGTAGAAGCTATTAGAATAGTGTTTGGCATATAATCAGCACCATATGTAAGTGTTTGTTATGGTTCTATTTGAATTCTAGTGAAAATATATCATGGCTTTGAAAATGGTATGAAACTTAACAAATGGTACTCTTGACTCAGTCTTGCACCATTCATGTGATTGGGAAGGGAAGTGGTCTCGGGTAAAGCAACATCATCTACATAATCACAGGATCACAGGACCTCCTGTGCAACCAAGCACAGAACAATCGAAACTGCTCTGGTCAGGGGAAATGGGATTTCATCAGCCACTGGGGAGGTGGGGTGGGACAGGGAAGCCAGGACTGTGCCAGGAGTGACGAGCAGGATGACTGCCCCATGCCAGCCTCCCTCCGCAACACGAGATATTGCTGAGCCAGGATGCCACCTTAGAATCCTTCATATCACATGCTCCAGGCAGCATTATCAACTGATCAGTGTTGGCATCCAACGGAAAACCTATCTGCCATTCCTGGACAGGCTCTGCTAGCCCTGGGGTCTGGGGTTCTCCAAGGGTACTGTTGGGGGGAATGCAGAGAAGGGAGCTTCAATTAGAAGAAGACTACCCTGTGGGAACTTGGTGCCTGTCATCAGAGCTCCCTTAGGCAACAGCCCAACACAAGTCCCCCACCGTATCTATGCTGTACACCACCAAAACCTTCCAGGGTTCGGGCCAAGAAGAGTGCCAGGCCATAGTAACCTGAGTGCCAGGAAGTGTGAGTAAGTGATGTGCAGGAAAAGAGGGTAACCATCAGCAGGGGTCAAGAGCAGCATTGAGAGTTTAACACTTACCTTGATCACATACTTTCCAAAAGAAAATCCTGTAAATGTTTTACTTTTCCTTAAAATCAGCCTGGTAAAATGACTGAAATAATTTAGGAAAAGTGAAATAATTTAGAAATAAAATCTAGTTTCACTAAAATGACTACTTCAGTTTTTTCCAAACAATGCACAGACATATAACTCAGGCAAAACTTGGCTCATTTCCCACGCCCCGAACATCCTTTACCCTTTTTTTCTCCTGGAGATATTGATCCCATGCAAATGCTTGAAGAGGAACAATTATAGGATCTTCAAATTTGGATGGAAAATTAATCTTCAGACTCTAGGTTTCAAAATAGAATAATTATTTTAGAGTAAATTCTTCTTAAAAGTAGAAATCATTTCCCTCAATTTTTATGGGTTCCCAGCAAGTTTCATGAGCGCCCAGGCCACACAGTCTGGCTCAGATGGGCTGCTCTCAGAGGCGCCTGTGTTCACCTCCATTCAGTCACTCCCCAGTCCACACTGGGACTTGGGCTTACTTATCTCTCGCATGTAGAGAATAAGCTCCTTGAGGGCAAAGACTGTATCTTACTTTTCCTGTAAGTAAGGAAAAGTTCAGCCTTGGCCTCAACATCTGGCATATAATGGATCATTCACACATACCAACTGAATAAACAAATGAATAAATGAGTCTAGACCAATAGTTTCGTGATCTGCCCTGTTCTTTTAAAACCAGTTTTTCCCTAAATTAAACTTTTACTAAACCTCAACGGATCAATGTAAATGATGTTCTTGCTTTTTTGGGGGGATTGGGGGAGGGGAGCAGTGCTGGGGAATCAGGGGAAGGGGAACAGACAAGGTGCTGTCTTTTTGTTTTTCAGTCTAGTTGTAGAGAATGTTGCTTCACTGGTCCATGTTGGCACCATCATTGCGCTCTTCCCAGGTGAGGCAGATTGGTTGCTGGCCTCTGGACGGCCGCTCAAGATGGCTCTTGGCAGCTTACACCGGCTGCTGGCCGCTCACGCTGGTTGCCGGCCACACACAGTAGCTTACGGCAGCCCACTGCAGCCTACACCGTCGCCGGCGACTCACGGCAGCCCAGCTCCAGGTCGAGCTGTTGTTCACCATCTTAGCTACAGAGGGCAGTGTCACTGGCCGTCATGTGGGATCTGAACCAGGGCCCTGTTGCTCAGAGCTGGCGTCCCAAGCCAGCTCTTAAACAACGCGCAACTTGGCTGGCCTGTTATTGCTTTAATTCACTGGTATTTGGAGAATGACCGAAAGAAGAGTGTGGTTAAACCTCTTGAGAAAAAGAGCAGTAAGGGGCTGGCCAAGTGGCTCAGTTGGTTAAGAGCTCACTCAAGAGTGTGAGCTCTGAGCAACAGGGTCGCCGGTTCAATTCCTGACCCGAGCTGAGCTGCCAACAAGTGGCAGGACGGCTCAGCTAAAAAAAAAAGAGAGCAGTAAATACTAGGTATGTTTAGGTTTAAAATATTGTGCATGTTTTGGTTTAACATATAGTGTTTTGTCTCTACGAATCAGAGAACATTCTTACTGGTTAACAATCCCTGTCAAAAAAGAAAAAAAAAATTGGTTCCTAAGGTTACACTTTGCTTCCTCCTAAAGCAAGAGAAGATAGTTGAGGCAACAACCATTAGGCCTCACTTTTCTGAGTGGATATGAGGAGTAGATGGGACAATGGAGAAAAGTGACAGGTGGCTGCTCCTGTCGTGGTCTAAGGGGACACTGGCCTAGCATGCTTCATCAAAGGTAGAAATTCCAATGAGGAGAAAGCCAGGATGTGAGTGTATTTTGCTTTGGGACCAGGGATAGCAGAAGAGGGCAACAGGGCCATTTCCTTCTTACTGTCCCCAACCAAAAGATGATGTGTCCTTTTTCTCTCAGTTCCAGTGTCTGTGTTCAATCTGAGGCAATTGTGCAGGATGACTGTTTCTGAGGGACCACCTGGAATAACGAAGCAGCTCAATAGTTTTCAAATTAAGCATACTTAATCATGCTTTCTTCATAATTTAGTGTTTGTTCTAAAGTGGACTATAACCAGATTAGAATATATGCAATAAATACTTTTTACAAATCTAAATCTTTGTCAGTTAATTAGGCATTTGGGATTACTCACAAATGATCAGGTTGGGAATATTTTCAAAGATCCTGTATTAACATAGAACTAACTGAATTTACATGGATGTTTTCATATTCAAATTGAGCTACAATAGGCAAAAGCTAGAAGAAAGGAAAAATTATCATTACTAATATAATAAAGACATTGTTTTCTTGATTTAGTGTCCTCTACAACAGGGATTGGTGAACTGTGGCCAGAGGGCCAAATCTGGCCCAAGCTTTTTTTTTAAATATTTGAGAGCTAAGAATAATTTTTAGATTTTTAAAAAGTTGAAAAAATCAAAAGAATTATATTTCATGACATGTAAAATTATGTGCAAGTCAAATTTCAGTGTCCATAATAAAATTTTATTGGAAAACTGCTGTTCATTAACATACTGTTTGTGGCTGCTTTTGCACAGGACAGAGTTGAGTAGTGATGACTGAGAGCCTAAGGCTCCAAAGGCCTAATAATTTAATAACTGGACTTTACAGAAAAATATTGTCAACATCTCTAGCATGTGGAGCAGGCAAAGAAAGTATGTGCCTTCAGAAAAGGAGCTAAGAAAAACATGGGTGAAAAAAATCCCTCAAACATATGAAATACAGTTTAGGCCATAAAACTATGATGATCCCATCAGCCCAGCTAACATAGCCCTTAATTGCTACTTTTTCTGATGATCCATATAGTTTTCACTGACTTCTTGGTCACTTATTCTTTTCATCTTGATATAAACTGTACCTATTTCAAAAATTAGTTACTATTTTCTGATTTGATATCATTACAAACGTCTTTAACTCTGTGGACTTGGCAGAGACAAGGTGGGAATTTAAGATTTCTTCTATTTGGGAACATTTTGTACCTAGCATCCAGCTGGGTACTGCGGGAGATATAAACATGAATAAGGTATTGTCATGGAGTCCAGTGGGGTTCTGAAGGACAGAAGCTTGGCATAGTCTTAGACCAGCATTTCTGGAGCAAATCCCAAAGACGTGCTGAATTCTACATTTCAAGACTTCACCCATTTCTACATTTCCCTTGCATTAGGGTTATAGGTGTGCTGCAACATTACTGACATGGCCACATTCTCCCAATTAAAGTGTTATTCCTTTTTTATCTTTCTGCATGCTTACAAAGAAATGCCTATATTCTCCAAAGCATTTGATGGTCATTTATTAAGAAATCCCCCTAAGCACCTAATTCGAATGGAGTGCAGTGACTGCTGTAGAAAATTTAAAGAAAAAAACAAAAAAACTTTCCCGAATAAAGTTTTCAAAAAAAATCACTTGGAGTGAGAGTTTGTAAAAGTCTGCTAGTTATATGGTAACACTTTTTCCTAAACATTTTTTCATGACTTATAAAAATCTATAATTTCAGTTAAAAATGTGAAAAAAAATGTGTGGCTATGTAGAGAGGAGGAATTACCTTTATTCACGGCAAGGTTCTGAATACTTCTTTCGATCGTATTCCCATTTAAAGGTAGCCTCTTCTCGAAGTGAAATGCCGCCCCCGGCCCGCACTTTTCCCCTACGCTCTGGGTTCCAACCAGACTGGCCCCCACTCCAGCCGGACAACCCCTCCCGGAACATCGAACCTTGCCACCAGGAGGCGCGAGGCCGGGAAGCAGGAAGAGCCGCCCGCACTTTTGGTTACTTCGCAGTTACCTCAGCTGTGCTCTTCGCAATCTGAAAAGTGGAGCTTTTGAAGAGCCCCACCACCTTGACCTGCAGCGGCTGCTCGGGAGGCGAGTGCGAGTCGCACGGCACCGACTTCGGCCTGCACCAATGCGGGCTCGCCATGGCGGAACTAGGGACCTACTTGGAGCACAAACACTGCGTGTCGCCAGGGCAACCGCGCGCCCCGCCCCCGCCGCTTTCAGGGAGGAGGCGGGGCTAGGGGCGAAGTTGGCGGCGGCGGGCTGCTGCTGCTGTGGGGCCTCTGTGCCCGTTGCTGGGGAGCCCAGCGAGGGCGCGCGGGGAGCTGCGGTCAAGGACGAGCTTCGGGGCGGAGGAACGGGGAGCTCCGCGCCCCGCGTGCCTCAGCCCGGCTCGCTGCCCGTCCGGGCCCCCTCGCAAGCGGCGCTCGCCTCCTGGCAGCTCCCAGATTTCGCCGCAGATCGCCTTTCCGGCTTGGTGGGCAGCCAGTTGGGGGCCAGCGGGCCAGTTGCCCGGGTAACACGGGAGTCTGTCCCGGGCTGCGGGCCCAGCACTTGGGCCTGAGCGGCGCCGGCTGGAGGCCAAGGCCATCCGGGAGCGCGGGGACGGGGCCGACCACCTGTGTGCACCGCCCGTGGAGGAGGCACCATCCGCCCACACTTGTCCCGGCCGTTGTAGTCGCTGGGAAGGCGGAGCAGTCCCGCGCCCCCCGAAGCGTTTCCGCCATGAAGCCCAACTTCTCCCTGCGACTAAGGGTCTTTAACCTCAACTGCTGGTGAGTATGCCCACGAAGTTGGGTCTTGGCCATTCGCACCCACACAGCCATTCGCTTCCTCACATCCAGGCCATGGCTTTACCCTGTACTACAATCTCAGGGTGCGGAGTGAACCCGCACTTCGAAGGCCCACACCTGGCCCCAGCTCCAGTGGTGTCTGGAGGGCTGAGCATCCCCAGCAGTCACCTCCCCCGGCCCTTCTGTCTTCAGGGGCATTCCCTACCTGAGCAAGCACCTGGCCGACCGCATGAAGCGCCTGGGAGACTTTCTGAACATGGAGAGCTTTGACCTTGCTCTACTGGAGGAGGTGGGCTGTATGGAAGGAACGGATGTGGAACCCTGGCTGGGAGGAGGGGCAGCTGGGGGTCGGGGTGCAGGAGGAGACTTTCCCTCCGAGGGACGAGCCAGACAGGCATCCTCACCTTTTCCCCCAGGTGTGGAGTGAGCAGGACTTCCAGTACCTGAGACAGAAGCTGCTGCCCACCTACCCAGCAGCGCACTACTTCAGGAGGTGAGAAGTACTGGCCTAGAAGCCTGTTCTCAGACCTGGAGGATCAGAGCCCTGACAGCGCTTCCTTATCCCGCCTGCATTCTCCCTTTCCCTGGGTGTGGGAGCAGGACAGGGTGGAACCAGCTCTTCTCAGCTTTGCCATCGTGTCACCCTATCATCCCACAAAGACTTTGAGCTGTGTTCTGGGGCTGGTCCCAGTAGCAGAGAAAGAAAAAAGTAGCTGACAAGTGCAGGGAAACAAGAGAAGGGAAGAGGACTGGGTCTTTCTCTCCCTGCTCCTGGTTATTTATTAATCAGGACTTGTCTTTCAGCGGCTTCATTGGCAGTGGCCTCTGTGTCTTCTCCAAACACCCAATCCAGGAACTCACCCAGCATGTCTACACCCTCAATGGCTACCCCTACATGGTAAGCCTGACTTCTGACCTCTTCTACCTCACTTCCCCACCCCCCACTAACACTGAAGGAGGCAGCCTTTCTAGGACTGCAGGGAATGGGCAGAAAGAGGGGAGCAGTGCCCTGAGTTCCTGCCCGCTCCTGCCTGCAGGTCCATCATGGTGACTGGTTCTGTGGGAAGGCTGTGGGGCTGCTGGTGCTCCATCTAAGTGGACTGGTGCTCAACGTCTACGTGACCCATGTAAGTGAAGCTGGCAATGCTTAGGGTCAGGCAGCCTGGTCCTGGGAGGAAGAAAGAGATGGGACTCCTTTATTTAGCTGGGCTGCCTGGGGGAGAGGTGTGGGAGCAGAATTTCCTAAGGTCAGTAGGCAAGGGTCACCCATTTTTTTTATCAAGTACCATGCCAAGTGACAGACACAGCTTGATTTCGACCTGCTTGCTGTTGGGACCCTCAGTCTCATCCGCTGTAATCTCATCTGTCTTACTCAGCTCCATGCCGAGTACAATCGACAGAAGGACATCTACCTAGCACATCGTGTGGCCCAAGCCTGGGAACTGGCCCATTTCATCCAGTGTGTGAGCCTGGGCTTGACCAGGGAAGTGGGATGGGGTCCAGGGGTTGAGGGGTGGCCAAGGTCCCCACTTATAGGGCAGAGCTGGTGAGGGAAGAATTCTTGCCTCACTAACCTGGTTCCCCCAGCCATACATCCAAGAAGGCCGATGTGGTTCTATTGTGTGGGGACCTCAACTTGCACCCGAAGGACCTGGGCTGCCGCCTGCTGAAGGAGTGGACAGGGCTGCTTGATGCCTACCTTGAGACCCAGGACTTTAAGGTGAGGACCTGCTTGATTATGTCCCCACCTTTGCACCCCCAGCTTCTCTCCCTCCTCCTTCCTCCACATCTTAGCACAAGCCAATTATTCACCTAGGGCTCTGAAGAAGGCTGTACAATGGTACCCAAGAACTGCTATGTCAACCAGCAGGAGCTGGAGCCATTTCCCTGTGGCATCCGCATTGACTACGTGCTTTATAAGGTCAGGCCCCTCCCCCCAACATGCCTTCACCCACTGTGTCTCTTCATCCCTCACCAGCCTGTGCTGACCCTTTGTCCAGCTAGACTAGACTTAGATCACTGATAATTGGAGAATGGGATAGCCAGGAGCCAGTTCTCTGGTAAGAGGCCCTCAAATATGTTTTTCTCTGGCCCTTACTTTTCCTAGGCAGTTTCTGGGTTCTACATCTCCTGTAAGACTCTCAAAACTACTACAGGCCACGAACCTCACAGTGGCGCCCCCCTCTCTGATCATGAGGCCCTGATGGCTACTCTGTGTGTGAGACACAGCCCACCCCCGCACAACTCCAGCCCTACCCATGGTGAGTCACCCCCACCTTTTCCCTTGGTCCTTCCCCACCACAAAGCAGCCCTTCCACTCTGACCCACCTGCCCCATTGCCTTGCCTTATTCTAGGACCAGCAGAGAGGTTACCATTGGTCAGCGTGCTAAGGGAGGCCTGGACAGAGCTGGACCTGGGTGTGGCTCAAGCTCGTTGGTGGACCACCTTCGCTGGCTACGCGATTGGTGTAGGGCTGCTTCTCCTGGCAGCGCTGTGTGCTCTGGTGGCTGGAGGAGGGGTCAGGGAAGTTGCCATACTGCTCTGGACCCCCAGTGTAGGATTGGTGCTGGGGGCGGGTGTAGTCTACCTCTTCCACATGCAGGAGGCCAAGGGCTTATGTAGGGCCCAAGCCGAGATCCAGCATGTGCTGGGAAGGGTAAGGGAGGCCCAGAACTTGGGCCCAGAGTCTCAGCCAGCCCTGTTCCTGGAGCAGCAGGAGAGGGACAGGAGTGAGGACCAATAAAGCTTGACACTTTTGTGGCTCTGCCTTTTTCCTTGTAGAAGCAGTGACTGGGCCCACATCTTCTGCCCTCTCTGCACACGCCCCGCCTCCCACCTGCAGGCAGCCTAAAGCCCTGTTTGTGGCAGAAACATTTTATTGTAAACAGTGACCCCCTCTCCCAGGCAGCCCACGTGAGCACGGTGGCACTGTCCTGGGATGAGGTGGCCATGGAGGGAAGAAGGCAGGCAGCCCACCCTCTTCTAGCCCTGGGCCCCTGGCCCTGAGGCCAGCTCACTGAGCCTGCTCGCCTCCTGAAAGCGGATGAGAGCATCTCGCTGGTTCACCACATCCACCAGCTTCCTGAGGATCTGTTCCTCAGCCTGCCGATCAGCCGCTGTCTTTAGGATTTCTGAAGGGAAGAGACGAAGCTCACAGAACAGAGAACTGGGCAGGGAGTCAGGAGTGGCATAGCCTAACCCTGGCCTACGTGACTTCTACCACCTGACCTTTGTTTCCTAATCTGTGAAATCAGCTGTGTCCATACCAGTGGCTTTCTAACACTGTTTTAAAAGCATATCCTGCATAAAAGCCCAAATGTGCATCTCTGATTGAACTGAAGGCAGAGTAGAGGCTTGGAGCCCAATCATCTGGCTTCCTCCTGAATTGCTTCAGAGGTTCTCTAAGTAGAGGACTGTGTTGCTTGGTCACTATCTGCGATCACGCGGGTCATGCAAACCCCAGCCCTGTTATGTCTGCCTCTCCCCACATCCTGCTTACCTTCCCGGTTCAGGTAGCTTCGTAGCTCCTGGTCCAGCTGCAACTGTTTCTCCTCCAAGTTCAGCTCCTGTACCCTGTGGAGGGCAGGGATAGAAGAAACATAGCTGTCCAGGGTGCCCAAGCACTCGGCTGGGGCCTGGCTCACTAGCCAGTGTCACTTCCCCATGCCCCTTACGTGATCATGAGCTCAGCCTCCTCAGCCACTAGGCTGTTTTTCTTCTGAACGAGCTGTAGCAGCTGTTCTAGCCATAGTGCCTTTTGCTGTTCTGGGGAACCTGATAAGAAGGAAGAAGAGGGTGAAGTGGTCAGGAGGCCTCCAACCAGGGTCATAGAAGTCCTGAGCATGCAGAATGGAACCTGCTGTGTGCCAGAGCCGGGTGACTTCAGGGACTGCTGGGGGCTAACACAGTGCTAAAAGGCAAGGGGGTGTCCTAGCGTGTCCCTCCCCATCTTCACTCACCGCTCTGGTTCCTCAGGGCCAGCTCCAGCTTCATGCCCTCGGCCTCCAGCTCCCTCAGAGCAACCTCAATCTCGTTTAGTCGCCGCTGGACGGCCTGAGGGGTACAAGACCAGAGGCCCAGGAGTCTTTGGATTGTCCCAGAACAGAGCACTGGAGGAGCTCTGCTCCCCAGTTTCACAACTCTGACCCATCAGAGCCTCCAGGGACCCCTGGGCCTCACCTGGGCCTTGCAGAACCTCTTCATCTCCTCCTCCTTTGCACGGCGCAGCAGGGTCCGCTTCCATGTTGGGTACCTGTCCATGGTGCCTGAGTTCTTGGCGAGGGTCAGCAGAGCCTATGGCAGGGTCAGAGCAGTCAGGGGTAGGGCCTGGCCTGGTGGGTAGGGATTGGGGAAGCTTCGTTTGAAAGGGGCCAGAAAGAACCTGGGCTGGACGTGGGGTAAGTTCTGATAGAATAAATGGAGGCTTAGAGACATGAAAGAGTAGGGGCTGGGTGAGAAGAGCGGGGCTCAGGAGGGAACAAGCTGCAGGTTTCTCCTGTGGCTGGGAGCGGGGTATATTTAGTGGATGCATGCTGGCTTGGTCGGAATAGGCGGCCATGTTCCTTTCACTCACCTGTTCCATGTCTGAGTCCAAAGCCACATCTTCCTCTTCCTCCTCCTCCTCTTCACTGGAGGAGGGACTCCCTTCTTCCTCTTTCTCCAGGGCCATAAGAACTGAGCAGAGAAGTAGACATGGCCTGGAATCCCCACAACCTCCCTTTCCATTCCCCAGCATCCCCCTTCAAGAATCCCAGTACCACCAGCCCCATCCCCACGCTGGGTCAGCACATCTGGGCAGAGTTACCTTGAGGGCTCTGGATTGGCACTCCCCATCCCACAAAGCTGCCTTCCAGGGCCTGGCGAGCCAAGGCGGAGCAGCTGCGGGGGGGCTTAGGTGGAGGCTCCTTTTCTGGGTCAGGGGTCAGATTAAGGGAGGACAAACGCTGGCGTTCTGGGCTGGAGAGGCGGATCAACCGACGGTTGGGCTGGCTGGGGCTTGTGATAGGAGTCGAGGGGCCGGATGGCATGTTATTCTCACCTGGTGTGGGGAGGTCCTAGGAAAGCCACCATGTGGTCTGGTCAGTGACCTGCCCAGTATGGGGTTGTGGGGGTGAAAATGTGGGCCCTGGAATTCACTCACTGATGCCACTTACTGGACAGTGTCAGGCACTGTTCTAGATACTTGGACAGAAATGCCTGCCTTCATGGAGTTCACACGAGAACAGTCAGTTACCCCCGGCAAAGTCGGCTGGGCTTGGAGAGACCCTTTTACTCCTTCCCACCCCAACACACACTTTCCCAGCTTTTACCTGACTCTCAGGGCCTCTGTCGCTGCCACCCTCTTTGTGGTCTGGCTGGGGCAGGTGCTGGAGGCAGTATAAATGTCCTGGGAAGGGTGGAGAGGGGGAGGAGACATCAAATGTAGGCAGCCCAATGCCCAGAGACTCAATTTATCAGGGAGATGGGGGTGACAGGACTGGATTTGCAGGTGAATTTCCACTAGCATCAGAACCCCACCTTTGGGACTTTGGAGGAGACAGAAGATCTGAGCTCGGGATGAAAGTGCCGTACTGAGCCTGTTTCCTCCTTACGCCCAGCAACCCAGTTCCCTTCCACCTTCAAACTTGCCTCCCGGTAGGGCCAGTCCCAAAGTCCCTCTAGAGGCTTTCTGGGCCCACTCACCATCTCCTGGGTGCTGCCTGTAGCCACCTGGCCACAGTGTGGCCTCACAGATATGGCAGCGGAAACAGCTTCGGTGGTAGAAACAGTTGTCGGCACAGACGCGTTCCAGGATGTAGAGGGGTCCCCTACAAAGCGCACAGAGGTCCCCGGCACTGGCCTGCACCAATCCCCAGGCCACACCGTCAGTTGGAGTCAAGGCCTGCTGCAAAGTTCTTCCCTATCCCTGAAACCCTCATCCCCAAACCTGTAGACAGGGCCCCCATTTTTACCTCCTGGTGGTGTGATGGGGGTGTTAGGGGGACACCAGGCTCTGGAACAGGTGGCTCCTCAGTACTTGGGGTCTCAGCCTCTACCTAAGGAGGTACGTGCTCAGGCCAAGGGAAGGGGAGTGAGACTAGGAAGGAAGACTGGATAGGACTGGATCTGGGGTGGGGAGTAAGACATGGGGAGACAGGACCTAGGAAAGTGCCCAGGGGAAGAGGACAGGAAACGGGCAGGCAGCTGTCCGGCCCTCGCATGCATTTACCTCCAGGCGTGGCTTCTTGCCACCTGCGTCCTCCCCATTTTCCTGTAACAAGTCGTACACTCAGCATGGGGTTCTGAGCCCCCAATCCTCCTCTCCCCCCATTCTGAATGTCCTCCTCCCCATCACCCCCGGAACCCATGCTAGGAACCCACTGCCCAGCCCCAACCCTGCCCAGACTCCACCTTGGCCCGGGTCCGTTGCAGAGTCCTCTGCAGTTTGCCAAGGAATAGTACAGCACTGGAGGTCCCTGGCAGGCCTTGGTTGGCAGGGCCTGCAGGGAGAATTGGGGTGTCAGGGCAGATGGGGATCTGATACTGTATCCTTGGAATCCACAGCTACACTCCAGACAGCTCCTCTCTCAGGCCATCCCTCAAGGGGACCCTCTCTCTCGCACACACATGCGTACACACAACCTCCTCACTCCACCTGTCTACCCGCTTGCCCCCCACGTCACCTGAATTTTGGGGTGTGCTCTTGAAGGCACTGTGAAAGTGGCTGAGGTAGGCGATGAGGCCCAGTGGGTCACTTCCTGCCACCACTGCCTGTGCGGACAACACGGGGGTGATGCCCAGCTCATGCTCTGCCATCTTCAGTGCCCAAGCAGTTGCTTCCAAAGCTCCCATCCCCTGCAGCTCTGAGGGTTCCCTGTAGGGTATCAGGAAGAGAAGCCAATGGAAGACCAGAATCTAACCCCATCAAAGGGGGAGACGGTGGGTAGAGAGAGTTGGGGGGAGGTGGCAGTAGGAAGGCTAGGGGAGTGCAAAGGGAGGGGAGGGCATGAGGGGTTTTATTTTCTGTGCTACACTCACACCACCACCACCCAATGACAACCTTCTGTCTTGGGGGGCTCTACTGCTTGCAAAGCTGGGCTATTGAATGCATTTGATTCTTACAAGATTCGCAGGCAAAGTCAGACACCTCCCTATCACTAGGGAGGTGAAGTGACTTGGGCAAGTCGTGGCGCTGGGACTCAGTTGGGTGAGCTAACTCCTACACAGAGGTCTCCCCGCCATTCCACACTGCGAGATGTAGAGGAAGGGGCAGAAGCATGAAAGGTACGGTCTGCCAGGGACCACTGGGCCTAATTTGCAACTCACAGTAGGCCAGGCCGCAGCCGGTTCACCAGTGCACACAGAGCCAGTCCATCAGCCCAGGAAGACAAAAGGTTAGTGACGTGGACACCAGGGTACCCAGCCGTCTGCTCTTGGCACCAATGTAGCAGCTCCTCCTGGGTGCCCACCGACCCTGGGAGAGGAGATTGTGCTGTGCCCAAGGCCCCATGGCTCACAGACAGCCCAGTTGCTGGGTGTGGGGTCTGTATGGCAGGACCCCGCCCCTAAGTGGGGCACTGACCTGACACTGTCAGCAGTGCCTCCTTCATCCCTATTTTCTCATTAAAAAAAAATCTCTTGGCTACTGCAGTGTACACCTGAAGCTGAAGCTGAATAATAATGAATGTCAATTATAATTACATATATATATATATATATATATATATATATATATATATATATATGGTCACNTATATATATATATATATATATATATATATATATATATGGTCACGGGATGTGGAGTACAGCATAGGGAATAGAGTCAATGGAACTGTAACAGCTAAATACGATGTCAGAGGGGTAGTAGATTGGGGGAGGGGGGTTATCACTTTGTGAGGGGTGTAAATGTCTAACTATTACATTGTTTTGTACACCTGAAACTAATAAAAAACAAAAAAGGAAGAAAAACTCTTTTTGGAATAAGTAGTGGGGGAGAATAAAGTGAAATCACTACTAGCTATAATACATAGAGGGCTATGGACTGGGACCAGGGAGGCCCCGAGGCTCAAAGAAAAGGCAGGTTTGGAGTCTGCAAGTCGAAGGGATCACGCAGAACAGCTGAGAACAGGGCAGCACTGCTGCCATTCAGCTGCTACGGATGTGGCAGTTGTTGAAATACTGAAATACTTCTACACAGCTGCTGCTGAGTGCTCTGCTGCCCCCCCCACTCTCCAGGACGCCCCAAACGTCCCCACCATCCAGTAGTGCTCCAGTACACTGTCCCCAGCCTGAGGCTGCAGCTATTGGTTGGTTGCACCTCACTAGTTGGTAAATATTTTGGTTATGGCCCTGGAGGAAGGCCTGCTTACCAGTGGGCAGCTTTCCTGAGTCTGTCTTGTCACTCGTCGGCTTGGGCTCCTTGGCCACCACGTCATACAGGTCTCGCACCTAAGGCAGCCCCCTTTCAGGTCTGGCTGACCATAAAACCCCATAGCCCATAGGGAAGGGGCCAGCCTGGGGTAGGGTTCACTCAGAGGGGCAGTGACTGGGCAGGTCTGGGCAGGCCTGACCTGGAGGAGGAGGTCTGACCTGGGAAGTCTGGTGAGGCCCTCGAGGGATGGGGGTGTCTGACCTGATTTTGGGACACACTCCGGAGGTTCAGGTTGGGGTAGCGGGTGGCTGGGTCCAGCCCATACTGGGCCACATTGCGGTGCATGTTTTCCGGGGATGTCTGTGACAGGAGCTGGTATAGGCTCTCGCTGGGGGAGAAGTGGGGGTGGGGTGAAGGTGGGGGGCAGGGACATGAGTCAGAGTGCATCCATGCATCCATCAGTACCCACCTGAGAACTGCCATGCCTTTCTTTTATTCTCTTTTGTCCATGTCCTCATCTATTCACCCAGCACTCCCCCACCCTCTACTGTCCCTTGTCATATATCCAGCCCTGCCCAACCCTGCCCAACTCAGGCCTCACCGCTCTGCCAACACTTCTAGAGGTCCAGCACCCTCTGCCCACCGCTTCACCATCCAGGCGGCATCAAAGGCTGCCAAGAAGCCCCGGGCCACTCCAGTGCCCAGGGGCCAGAAGGGCTACAGGGTCAGAAGGGTAGGAAATAGGTCAGTGAGAGTCCACCAGAAGTGTCCAAGCCCAGATGCTCCCGAGGTCATAGCATAGGAGGCCTCTCACCACACCAAGCAACCCTCAGCTCCTCCCGACAACAAGCAAACCCTTTTCTCCCCTCCTTCCCAACCATGGAACCCCTGTGACTCTTTATGAGGGGTCTCTGTTTCTTGAAGCACCAGAAAGCCCCTCCCCCTCCTGCTTCCCCCCGTCAGGGAACCCTGGCCCCCTTACCTCCACCAGGCAGTCCCCCACCAGCTCCAGCAGCAGGCGGGCACCATGCTTCTCCTGCACACGAGCAGCGCTCTCGGCCCGCATCATGCTTGTGAAGTCAAAAGCAGAGACGTCGGGTCGCCCATGGGCATCCTGGGCAAATTCCAGCTTCCCGAGCTTGCCATGGGTGGCAAAGTCAGCAGCTGCCCGGGCAAAGCGCTGCAGAGCCTCGGGCACCACATTGGCACTGCTCAGCAGCCGGTCAGTCTCCGGCCAGTCCTACATGGCCAACAGATCAGAAACAGCAGTATCAATTGGGCAGTCCCGTCCCCTTGGGTGTAGAAGGTACACATACTAAGGCCCCAAGAAGGGGCTCCCCCAGACTACACAGCAATTGAAGGCTGAGCTGGGCCTAGAATTTGAATGTCTTCCTCCCAAGCTCAAGCCGCTTCCCTAGAACTCACCCTGCTGCTGGGGATCCCAGGGTCCACCCTGCTCCCGAGGTCCAGAGCCATTACTGTTATCATACATTTGCTTTGGACAAGTCACTGAACTTCTCAGAGCTTAAGTTTCCCTATCATTTAGAGAGAACACATCTAACTTCTCAAGGTACTCATGAGAGTTAGGTGAGACAAGGCATATGAAGCTCTTACCATAGTACCTAGCGCATAGCAGGTGTTAACTAGTTCATTCAGCAAATAGTTATTGGGTGCTTATCATACACCAGACACCCTGTTTCCCCAAAAATAAGACTTAGCTGAAAAATAAGCCATAGCATGATTTTAGCTGCCCAAATATGGCACCTTGGCATACGAAGCACTGGGAATAATCAGCAAGCAAGAGACAGAGACAAAACTCCTGCCCTCATGGGGCTTATGTTTGTGGCTGGTATAAGGTCTTTAGCCCAGAATATGATTCAGGTTGCCATGTAAATCCCAGGGGAGAGGAGCTTGTTGAGGTGGAGGAAAAGTCAGGGCAAAGGCAGGAGAGGACAGGCTCTGTCCACACCCGTGCGGGGAGAAGAGGGCGGACAGACTGTGTCAAGGCCTGGCTTCCATCTCCCAGGGCCCACTGCCCAGCCCCTCCCTCCCTGGGCCCGGCCCCACCTGACGCAGCACCCCGAGCCGCAGCAGGCACTGCTTCTTGGCTGTCATCACAAAGTAGTGGGTGTCGTCCTTGTAGTATACAATGTTTTCCAGATCAATGCCTGCGGGGAGCGGTGGCGGGGAGGGGGGAACAGGGCAGAGTGAGCAGGAGATGTGTCTCCTCGTGATGTGTCACCTCTCCAAACACCCCAGCCATGCCTGACCTCTGGTAGCTGGGATCACAGCTTAGACTACAGTGGGTGCCCCACACGTGGGGGCCCATGAGTTCTGATGGCACAGTGAACCATCTGTCCCAGGCCCAGGAGGCCTGAGGATGTGGAGCAAAGAGAGAAACCGGTGGGGTGACAGCTGGAAGACATGCACCAACCACAAGGTCACATGCTTACAGATGACAGCTTGGCTTCTCAAACTAGGGTGTGCACACCCCAGGGAGTGTGGCAGTTCAAAGCCAAAGTAAACAGGGCATCTTTTTAAAGTACCACTTTCATTTTGAATTTATATCGTTTATATACTAAAGCACCTATAAAGAAAAACAAAGCAAAATCCCATGCCTTTTGTGAGAGATTTCCAAGACCTGTCATACTGAGTGGCAAAGCGGGGCTGTGCCGGCTGAATCCCTGGGGGCACAAGTTCTTTGCTGTCAAGGTTCCTTGGACTGAGGACAGGTCTGAGCAGGCAGGTGAGGCAGGACCCAGCCCAGAGTCAGGCAGTGGGAGGGGAAGCCTTGTGAGAGGGGCCCTGACCTGTGGCTTTGAGCAGGCTCTGGAAGAAGCTCTGGTTGTAAATCCTGGCCACACCGCTGATCTCGGGCACCTGTGTTTCTTCTACCGTGCGCCCATTCACAAAGTTGGCCGTGATGCCAATGGCCAGTTTGCCACGCATCTCTCGCACTGTGAAGCCTAGAGGTGGGGGCAGGAGGGAAGTGGCAAGAGGATGAGGAGTATAACAACTTTGAAAGGCCCAGGAGGAGCCTGAGAAACTGACTTCGGTTAGGGAAGGGATCACTCACCTTCAGGGACGAATTTACCTCCAGCAGCGGAGATGAGGACATCAAATTCATAGTTGACCAGCTGAGCAGGGGCTTTGGGCTGGAGCTGCGCACGCCAGCCACTCCCTGGGGCAGAGGGTGTGAGAGGCACAAGACGTGTAAGTCTGAAGGAGCCCCTATATTCCCAGGACAAGCCAATTAAATAAATGTATTAAAGGGCTTTGGGGTTTAGAAAGCAATGACACATGGCCTATCAAATTATACCTTCACAACAGCCATGGAAAGTAGGGAAGGAAGGAAATATTACTCCCATTTTATAGATGCTCAATATGAGGTTCAGAGTGGTTTGCACAAGGCCACACTATGAAAAAGGGAGACTCAGGTAACTCCCAAACCCACCCTTTTTCTTCCACAAGCCAAGATGTCCTTGGCAGATGGGGGTTCTCAGGAGCAGAGAAGTACTTACCCTTTTTGGTAGGGGGCTGGAGGCCAGTGAAAGTGACACCCCAGTGAATTTCCACCCCCAGCAGTAATGCCACTTTCAACAAAAGCAGCTGGAGCTGCCGGATGCCTGGAAGGGAGAAGACAATAGGTACAGGGCCCCATCCCCGAGCACCGGTGTGTGCCTGGTCAGAGCTGGAGAAGGTCTCAGAGATCACTGTACCCATTTTACAGATAAGGGGCCTGAGTCCTAAAGGTCATCTGGCTGAAGTGAGTCTTGTCCACTCTGCCCCTTGGCTGGCCCAGCAACTCCCCCACTGACCTGTCTCTAGGCCCAGGCTCTCCACCCCTCTAGGCCACCAGGTGGTACTCACTGATGTGGTCCAGGGTGCCTGTGCAAAAACGCCCGTAGAACTTCTTGGCGCCAAGTCCCCGCAGGTCATGGATGGTGAAGGGCCAGAGATGGAGCACATTGTGGCGAGAGAACTTGGTGCGCTTTTCTACCAGCACCACACGGGCCCCCAGCAGCGCCAGCTCCACAGCAGCCCGCAGACCACAAGGTCCAGCGCCCACCACCAGGCACTGTGAACATGCAAGGCAGTGTGGACATGGCACCCCATCTCCCTCCTCTGACTCCGGAGCCCCGCTCTCCAAGCCCCATCCCAGGCACCATGTATTCATTCACCTTGGTGCTGGTGCAGGCCCGGCCCTGCTGGTAGACAGGGTGGCCTGCTCGCTTGTCCAGCTTGGCCCACAGAGACTTGGCGCTCCAGTAGTTGAGCTGCGCCTTGATCTTGTGGTACTGGGGCAGCCCCCCACCAGGCTCCAGCCCCAGGGCCTGGCATAGCTCCTGGAAGGTGCTCAGCACATTCTGACACAGCTGAGCCTGCAGGAAGCTCTCAAAGTGGGCGTGTGCTGGGTTGGTGGAGGTGGGTGAGGCCATGGAGGCCCCTGGGGCTCCCAGGGAAGGGAGCAGCTGAGCAGAGGCAAGTGGCTGCTGGAGAGGAGGGAAGAGACGGGGAGGAGGCTGGAGGAAGGAAAAAGGGGAGGAGAGGAAAGCAGTTTGATGTCTCCAGGGAGCTGGGGTCCACCCCTGATTGGCTCTGCTCCTTTCTCCCAGCCCACTCTTGATCTGCTTCAGAGATGGCTGCTATCCCCTTCCATTCCAAGTGAAATCTGCCAAATTTGGAAATGAAAAATCAGCAGTCCTGGGCACAGAGGGCCCGCAAGAAGCCAGGAACCTTTAGTTCAATCTTCCTGTTCAGGGATCTCCAAGTCCTGCTCCATCTCAGGGGCCCAGAGGGCAGAAAGCAGGGTATGGTGCAATTTCTCAGATATGGAGAGGGCAGGTTGGCCAGAAGGAGAGCTTTCCTTGTGGCGTGGACAGGGACAGACCAAAATACTGGCAACCCCAGCTGCTGGTGCCCCATCTCATCCCACACCTCCTTCCTCCTGCTGCCCCTTGATGGGCTCAGTGCCACGTGGGTGTAGGGTGTGCCTTATGTCAGGGGCAAAGTTTTCATCCTTAGCATTCATGATTTCCTCCTGACAGAGGGGGAGATGGTCTCTAACTGTGAAGGTTGCACTTCCCACAACCAAAACTACCTCAACGAACAGCAGGAGGATGTTGCATGTTTCAACTGACTGGGTGAGGGAGCACGGGGTCTATTTCTGACTCACTGTGGTCAAAACACTTCCCCTGTGACTTGCCTTCTCCAGTGGGCCTGGAGGGCGGTCAGGGGGTGGTGACAGTAGCTGCGTTTGCCCCTCCCAGTTTCCTCCCATCCCCATCGAAGACCCGCCCCATCCCCTGTGGGCTCCCGCGCTCTCCCAGGAATTTCCCGAAACAAGGCCTCCTTTGTCCCCCTCTCCCTCGCTCGGGCCCCCACGCAAATTGAGGGATGTCTAAGGGGGGCTTTCAAACGCTGGGACCAGGAGGCATCAAAGGGTACATTGGGCAGGATTGCCCTTGGGGGAGTTAAAGAAGGTGCGTTGCATTGATGGGTGCAGGTCGGTGGGACCGATAAAACCCCACTCCCTCGGCCGCCCGGCCAGTCCCAGCCGGAGCCCAGCGGGGCCAGAGCGAGGCAGGAGACTAAAGTCTTCTGCTGCAGGTCACCTGGACTAGGGCGGACGGACGTCAGGAAGGGCAAAGTCTCTGGAGGGTGGGGAAGTGGAAGAAGACCTCCGCGACGGGAGAGAGAGGGGTGACCCAACCTGGAAACACCAGAACAAAGGATGTGCGAGGGCTGGAGTGGTCTGGAAGGATGGAGAGGAGCTGGTCCACAGGCGGCGGGGGTACCGGGTACTACTCTCTGGACCGTAAAGTCAGGAGAGGGGCTGAGCAGGGCGGGGGCGGGGGGAGACGGGTCGGACTGCCAGGAGCGGTTCCGGAGCGCCCGGGGTCACATTTCCCCAGAGGCGCACCCACACACCCCTGTCCCCCGCGGGCAGGGGGCGCACAGCTGGTTTAGCTGGACAACTTACCCTGTGTCTCTAGAGCGGGGAGGGGCCGCTTCCTGCCAGGCGGGGCGGAGGAAGGGGAGGAGGTGAAGGAGCGGAGGGAGAGCTGGGTTGTCGTCTGCGCGCGGGGTCCGCCGGACCAAGGAGTTGCGCAGGGTGTGGGCTCCGGCGCCGGGCGTGCGGCCCTCGGAGGCTTTATTCGTGCCTCATTAACATCTCATTACCCCGAGATCCCAGACTTGGGACAGCCTGGGACCCGCCCAGGCCTGCTGGGTGGCGCCCGAAAGGCGTGGCACTGCAGATGCTGGGTTCCGCTTTGGGGAAGGAGACCGGGACCAGGCTTGCCCAGAGCCGAAGAGCCCGGGATCGGAAGCACCGGGTTCCCGCGGCCTCGGGCTCCATCCTGGTGCCTGTGCCTGCAAAGTTAGCCCTTCCCTGGTGGGCGAGCGCACCCACCCTTGTCCAGTACCAACTCCGCAGCCCGTCTCCTAGCGCTGGGCGGAGAGGGCGCTCTGCTAGGCTAGAAGTTTGCTGAAGCTGGTGGGTCCATTGGTGGCGCCCGAACGTCTGCGCTGCCTTCACCGCTCCTACATGAGATCCAAGGCTCCGGCGCCCCACGTTGGATTCCCCTCTCCTGCCACAAGTCGGCCCCTAAACCCAGACTGAGGGCAATGGGCACGGATTAAGTCCTGGGAACTCGTAATCTGCAGCTTCCACAGCGACATGAGAAGTGAGAGGGCTAGAAGGTCTTGGGGTGTAAGGTGTAAGATGGTGGCGTTAGACCACTACTAAGAAAGGTGAGAATGGGAGGGTGTGTGGGGGAGGCTCAATTCCCAACATTCAAGAATGCCTTAGAGTGAGGACCCATAGAACTGTCAGTTCTGAAACGGGCTTGAAAGACCTTTGGAACCAACTTTCTCATATTAAGGATAAGACAACAGCACTGAATGTGAAAGCACTAGTCTAAGGCCATTCAAGTTAATATTAAATATCAATACTCCTTTACTGGATATCTATTATGAGTATTGCCCTAATCTCAATGATTAGAATAGTCCGGTTTTACCGAAAAGGAAACTAAGAGTCACAGAAGTTCTGTGACCTGTAACAAGTCACACAGCAAGTGGCAGAGCTGGTGTGGGGCCCAGGTTTATCTGGACTCCACCACACCAGTGTTGATCCAACGTGACGAATGAAAGGCTGGCATTATAAGAAGCTGTTTCTTGTTTAGAGCAAGTGACACTGTTACACTAGAAACACCAACAAAGCAGAGGCATAAATGGGAGGGTTGCTCTCCTTGAGACCTAGGGATCTGAAAGCACTGGGCGCCCTATGGCTCTCCCCTTCTCTTTATTCTCACTTTTCAGTTTCATCTGGAAACCCTCTGAGACCCAGTAAGACCTGAATACTCAGTGCTCTCAGCTTGAGCTCAGACGGCAGGAAAAGGGAGGCAAGGGGAAATGCCCGCTCTGCCAAGAGAGGCAGGGAATTCATCCAGGTCACCCTCAGGAAACTAGGGCAGCCTCCCAGCTGGGCCTATTCTGGCTCTTGAGTCATTTGGCTTGAAATGAATTTGCCAGATATCAGACACACCCATATTTAAATACATATTATAAGAAGTGTTCTAAAGTCCACTATTAACGGGTTACTGGGCTCTTAGAAGCACCCCATTTCCCTTTCATTAGCTGGTGGTACACAACCACCTTGACATAGTGCATTTGCAAAAAGGCTCAGTAGGGTCTGTCTGGCCCTTGATTCAATGACTAGCGATTTGCAGTCAAACAGGGTTATGTGGCTGTCTGAATGCCAAATGGCAACATTTGTCTTTAAAAAAGATCACAGAACAATAATGCCTTTATCAATACTAAAAAACTGCTGACTTGGAGTTTCACTTTATGCTAATTAAAGATACACACAGTGACATAAAGTAATGAGGAATATATTGGTCTGTAATCCTGAAGATCTGGTCAGATTCCAGTTTTACTTCACACTAGCCCAGTGTGACCTTGAAAAGTTTGCCAGCCACCCTGCTTTGGTCTTGTCATCTCTAAATGGATACTGTTTAATTAATCAACCTTCTGAGCCCATTTCAATTCTAACATCCTGTCATTCAATTTTGGTAACTCTAAGAAATGTACAGACTGAAAGATTCAAACTAAGTTCTATTTATAGAGTTTCTTTAGAGAAAAAAGCGACCTCTATTAAAGCTATAAGAAAATATTTATCTACAAGTGTTTCTCTTCTTAATTAGAATCTTGAGTCATGATCCACATAATATGTGTTGTATATAGAACTAAAAATATTGGCACAAGCACATTGGCTGGTTCATATTGGATCAAATAAGTGGCTGACACTTGAAAAATGAGTTTTAAAAGAATCCTATTCTAATGTTTTTACAAATAACATTGCCAGCAATGGCCCATATTATTGGGTTGTCAGAAAAGTCATGACGCATTTTTGCAACGAAAAACATAGAAAAATATGTCATGACTTTTCTGACAACCCAATAAAAACCTAAGCCATGAAGACAGGATCCCTTCCCTTTAACCCACACTGTGCTCCGTCTTCCTGCAATGCCATCCTTACCTCACCTTCCAACCTCTGAGCCTGGAACAAGAAATTAGGTCCCTAGCACTGCAGGTGACATGTCTAAGCCACCTTGCACCTGTAGGTCCAAACAACATGTCCATAGTCCTGGGCCAGAAGCTGTGGCTGCAGCATGACCAGACAGGCACAGCTCCTGATGTAAAAATAATTATGAACTGAGTTCAATGTGTAGAGTGCTGTTAATGGATACGATAGGGTAGCTTGATTGAAGTTAGAGGGTCAGGGTGAGCATCCCCAAGGAAGTGACACTTACACTGAATTCTGACAGATGAGCAGACATCAGTCAGATGTGGGCAGAAACCTTTTGAGGCGGAAATGCCTGCCTCAAAGCCCTAAGGCAGGAAGTTGTGTGTGTGTGTATGTTGGGGGGTGGGGGTGGGGTGATGGCAAAGAAGCCAGTGTGGCTGGAAGTTAGAATGGGAAAGGGGCCCAAGAGGAAGCTGGATTGGGGATTTTTAAGTGCAACAGGAAACTGCAGAAGGATTTGGAACAGAGCAGAGATGTGATCATATTTGCCATGATGACACAATATCCAGTCATTAGCTTGATGCTAAGGGCAAAATGGTGAGCCCGAATCACCACTTTCAGTGGAAATGGGTTAGGGGTAGGCAAGGGGACATGGTGCAGCTTTGGGATTGGATGGATTCAAAATAGAGTTGAATCTATTTTGTGGTGAAATATTTTGAGGTGAAAGTGATGTATTGGATTGGGTGTGAAGGGTGAGGAGGGCCCTGTCAAATATGACTCCCAGCTTTCTCTCTTGGCTGCTAAGACGAATGAAGCACAAACAAATGTAAGCTCCCCATCCTTTCCTATCCCTCCTTGCAAACGTCTCTCTCTATAGGCTGTTTTTTATTCAAGTACCTTCCCCAGAAGTCAAAGCACGATGATTGTATAGACTCCAAGATAATACAAGGGCCTCTTACCCTGAGAGGCTGCAAAAGTTAAAAATACAGATAGGTTCAGAATCAGTTTAAACACTTGCCTGTATTTTTGTCATGAGAGTGCTTTTGTACTTTAATCACTACAATGATAGGAAAAATTTGTCCAGAAGCCACTTAATCATATTAAAGAGGTGGATTTTTTTAAACGTAGAGTTTTATTTGTTATTATTTTTTTGGTGACCCTAAAAAAATAAAATAGAGGTTTGTTTTTAACACTATTTGAGCCTAAGAAGTGTCAATTTAACTTTTCACCTAACAAGGATAAAAGTAATGTGAATGAACTAAAAAACCAAGAGCCAAATTATTCATTTGGAAAATGTTCAAATCCTATTTAAAAGGATCTAATATTATGAATTAATATTAGATATTAAGAATTCAAAATAAATAAATCCAAGCTCTAAGACCAAGGAAGTTCCCTGAAATGACCATTGCTCCAACTTTTCCTTTTCTTCATGTCACATTGGATATAGTAGTGCTTTTCACATAAGTAAAAAAAAAAAAAAAAAAAAAAAAGAAGCTAAGATCTCTTGGGACTGTTACATAAATATGTTCAAGTTCCTACATTTTGTGTTAAAAATGTGATTGAATGAACTTTAGTTTAAAAGCTCACCTAGTGTGGTTTTAAGTGAGAATTATATATATATTCTCTATATATTATTTTATATTCTATATTTATTCTATATATATTAATATATAATTATATATAATTCTCTATTAATATATATAGAATAAAAATTATATATATATATATAAAATTTTCCAGTCAACCAAAGTGTTTGTTGCTTAATCATGTGTAAAGAATATGAAAGCTAGATAAACTATCACAGTGACATTCCAGCTTCTTTTAGAGGTCATTCTTTGAAAACTGCTGTTTACAAAAGGAAGGCAAGGGAGATTTTTAAAGGGTTATTCCTTCAAGCCTGCTATTTACAAAGAGTTTTCTTTCAATTCTTAAGAATTCAAGCTTAGGGCCGGCTGAGTGGCGCGATGGTTAAGAACTGTCTTGGGATGCCAGAGGACCCCAGTTCGGATCCCACATATGAGGGCCAGTGACACTGCCCTCCACAGCTAAGATGCTGAACAACAGCTCAACCTGGAACTGGGCTGCCATGAGTCGCCGGCGAGGGCGTAGGCTGCAGCCCCTGTGGCAGTGGGTTTCCATGGGCTACTGTGTGTAGCCAGCAGCCAGCGTGAGAGGCCAGCAGCCGCAGTGAGCGGCCGTCCAGAAGCCGGCGACTGATCTGCCTCGCCCGGGAAGAGTGCAATGATGGTGCCAACTTGGGCCAGTGAAGCAACGTCCTCCACAACTAGACTGAAGAACAAAAGGACAGCAACTTGTCTGTTCCCCTTCCCCCAATTCCCCAGCGCTGTTCCCATCCCCCAATTCCCCAATAAAAACCTTTAAAAAAAAAGAATTCAAGCTTAATTTTAGGTTTGGAAACTGAGGATGAGAATTTACCTCAATACTTACAAATGGGTAGCAAAAACAAATCTGCCTGAAATGTAAAATATCCTGTCAGAAGTTTGACAAAATGGCTCATGTATAGAGGTTCATGTTAGTTAAGACATTTTCACTTTAGTGGTAACTTGCATCCAATTGATAAATTTCGATTAAGTTTTAAATCAGTAGTAAAATACTAATATGAATATTATTAATATGGTAGTTAATGCATTTTGTAATAAGACTATATAACTTTTACTATCATTTTATGTTAAAAGTTTGTATGCTAAAATTTCAGTCACAGACCCTCGATTTTAGTCAAAAAAGTTCTATTACATTCAACAGGTCATATGTAAAGAGAAATCTATCTTAAAATTTCAAACAAACTGCTGATAGTAAGCTCATCTGGTGTAATTAGCCTAGGGCAGGGGTCGGCAAACTGCGACTCGTGAGCCACATGCGGTTCTTTGGGTACGGACATGTGGCTCTGAAGTAAAATTAAAAATGATAAAATTATCATAGTTTCATTTATAAAAATTTTTAAAGGATATTATTTACATAATGGTGATTATGTAAAAATGTATTTATGGCTCTCGAATAATTTTTAAATTGTTGTGAGGGACAGGATTGGCTCTTCCCTCTCAAAAGTTTGCTGACCCCTGGCCAACCCCGTGTTCTGGCTCTACCGCTTACTGTGTGACCTTGGCCAATGGACTTCATCCATTTGGGCTTCAATGTTCTCATCTGTAAAATAGTCATAACAATATTACTTACCTCATAGTAATGTCATGAAGATTAAGTAAAATAACATGTGCTTCAAATGGGTTATGGGTGTGTCCCAGACACTGCTTCCCAGCGCATTCAATGCCAGTTGTTACAGGCTGAAGGGTGTTCCCCGTCCCCCTAAATTCATGTTTTAACCCCTAGTACCTCAGAATGTGACTGTATTTGGAGATAGGGTCTTTAAAGAGGTAACTAAGTTAAAATGTGGGAATTAAGGGAGGCCCTAATCCAATAAGGCTGGTATCCTTATAAGGAGATTAGGAGAAACACACAAAGAGACCATGTTAAGACAGAGAGGAATGGATGGCCAGCATGCCTCGGAAGCCAATCCTGCCAACACCTTGAACTTTTACCCTCAAGAATTGTGAGAAATAAATTTGTTTTTTAAGGAGGGCGCAGCTCACAGTGGCCCATGCGACGACTGAACCGGCAACCTTAGTGTTATTAGTACCACGCTCTAACCAACTGAGCTAACCGGCCAGTCCAAATTTGTTTTTAAATTCACCCAGTCTGTAGTATTTGTTATGGCTGCCGTAGCAAGCTAATGTCCCAGTCACGGCCAGGGGTGACTGGCGTCCTCTAACGGCAGGGTGCTGGATAAATCTGATTTCTTGTGTATGATGCATGGAAGAAATTTGAGAAGCACTAAGAGACAGACCTAACGCACCCGGCTTCACTCCTGGCCTAGAGTCAAGTCAATTATGTGGCAGATATTATTCCAATCTATGAAAACCTAGATGTAAGCATCTAAAATGAGAACCTTGTTATTTAACTAGTTGCTCACAACACTTATAACAAAAGAACCAACTGTAGGAGATACAGAGTAGAGCCAGAAAGAGGAATTTCAAGAAACATAGGGGCAAACACAGAATAACTTATTTTGGTAGCAGGAGCTTGAGGCCTCCCAGGTAGCTTTCACTACTGAGAGAAAAACCAAAGATTCACCATCAAAAGTGAAAAGTCATGTCAGTAGCCCAAAAGCATAATATTCTATCAATATTACTTCCTAAGAAGTACAATTTGTATTTCCACACTTGTAAAACAACTTTAAGAACTGTGCAAGTGCAGTACAAAGTGAGTCGTGAAACACTGAGCGAGCAGTTTCTCAGACACAGTAGAAACTTTATGTACATATTTCCTTTGGGTACAGTCACTGAACTTGAAAATGCTGCATTTCATTCAAAGGGGCAGAATGTGTATTTGGAACCCAGAAGAGAGGCTAGATTTATAAAGCTATCATTTTCTTGTTTCCCTCTGACGGCTGGTCAAATAACTCAGAACTCTTCCAGAAGGTATTTTTATGGCTGAGACTGGCTCCCAAGCTAGAAACAGTCAGGCCTGTGCTGTACAACAGGAGCCGCCAGCCACATGTGGCTATTGGGAACTCACACCATGGCTAGTGTGACCAAGGAACCGGGTTTTCATTTGAATATATTTTAAAAACTGACACTCATTTTAGTTACTGAAAAAAGTATGTCTGCAACTACTAGACTATGCAGTTTCTCAACTGTAAAACTGCATGAACTCTAAATATAGATGGTGTTCAGTGAACATTAGCATCCAAAGCAAGTGTGCACTAAGTGTCAAATACATACCAGACTTTGAAGGCTTAGTCTGCAAAAAATTATGTAAAATACCTTAATACATGTTTATATTGATTACATGTTGAAATGATACTATTTGGCAAATAATGGATCAAATAAACTATTTTATTAAGATTAATTTCACCTTTTTGTTTTGATTATGGCTGCTAGAAATTTAAAATTACATATGTGGTTCCCATTAAATTTTTCTTAGTGCAGAGGTAGACTGTCATAAAGCTAGTTAAACTTGACATATAGTCCTGTGATTCCATTTCCTGAATAATTATCCAGCTATCCACACTGAGTACTTAAATATTCATTTACTTGAATACTATTTATCTCTTGGAGAAAACACGGGCCAGCTGGCTTTGAAAAGCTGGTAAAAGCTTTGCATTTTAACAATAAAATTAAAGTACACAGTTTAAATGACTAAGTCAAGAACCTGAAATAATATTTAAAGCATTAACTGTATTTGCAAAAATTATACCTTTGCTCTAGTCAGGTCTGATTTAATATTACTTTGGTTGCTATATATAAGATAAATCATTTTGGAAATTTTGTGAATCATATACAATAAGATACATTTTGGCAAATATGTTAAAAAAATGCTTTCATCTTCTCTCCAACCTGAACAATTCTCTATTACTTTAACCTCCAAACTTAATTTGATTCAGGTGGAAATCAAAGATGCCTAAAATAAGAAAACAAGTACCCTATTAATTTTACGGTAGATTACCCCTACCCTCCACCAGCATTATGTTAATTTACATACTCGTATTCTAGTGCCCACCTTTTTTTCTCAAAAATCCTCCACTAGTTTACTTGAGAGAAAGCAGTCAAGTATTCAATAAAATATGCTGGGCTGGAGAACCTAATCCAAACATAATTTAATTTTTTGACAATTGTTTAAAATAATATGATTATAGACACATGCTGGTTAGTAAGTCTTTGAGGCTCAAAATTACTTTCAAGATTATGAGAAGATATTCACTTTTAAAAATAATGTGTCCATTTTGTAGGATTTAATGTATTTGCAATAAAAATAGATAATAGGTTCCCATCTCCAGAAATTTATCAGACATAATATACAGATCAACATTTTCAGAGGTCAATTAGAATTCAGTAGAGTATATTTAACACAAAATTACATTGAACAAATTTTTTATTCCAGGATAATTAAGAAAGTTCTAACTTCATCGTGAAGATCAAATATCATTGTAGGTAGAGCTCTAGAAGTCTGATTTGTCTTGTGAGGCAATCGTGTTGCCTGTGAGAAATTAGAAAGTGGAACCCACCATTCTACCCAATTCAACATACTTGTAACGGCTTCCTTTGCTCTAAAAAATAAAAAAAATATATAACTGGCAAGGTCAGCAAGACCATAACCTACAGCTGTGAACGTTCAGTATTTACACAAAAGTCTAAATCAATACTCCCAAAGAAAAATTATCCAAGTCTTTATGAGATGTAGTAAATGAAGTGAAAACCGTTCATCAATATTGAAATGCTAAATCCCAATCAGTACAATAGTCAGGACATGATACATACATCTTGCTGCCTGGATGGAAAGCATTATAACCATCAGGTAGCTATCTGTGTAAGCATCTGTGAGTGTTTCAGGAAGACTGACTTCCAGCGCACGATCCAGTTATAGCTGGCTTATGGAGAGGAGGCCAGGAGAGCAAACATGTTCCCAGGTCAGCTTTGCTCCTGGCTCAGTGGTGTGGGCTGGGTCACATGGTGGCTGGGTGGTGGTGGCACAGGCTCTGGTGTCAGCTGCAGGTGCTGAGCCGGATCTGACGCACTTGCTAAGTGGAGCTCCCCTGTTTGCTCTTGATGGGCGTGAAGATGCTCCAAGGTTTCCTTGGAGAGTGTGATTACATGCACTGGCTCAGTCTGTGAGGGCTCCATCTGGCTTTCAATCATATTGAGGCTCTGAATGTGTTCTGTTTGCTCCTGTTGGGCTGAAAGGATTAAATTTTGTAACTGTTCCGGCTGCTGCGTGAGCAGGGTGAGATTAGCAGCTTGGTCTGCGGTCATGTTCTGGGAGCTCTCTGCAGCGACGATGCTGATTCCTTGGCTAGGACCAGGCATGAAATTGATGTTATGTACAGAATCGGTCACAAGAAGCTGAATTTCGGGAGGCTCTCCAGAGGTAGAGAGTTGATATGGCTGTAGGTGAAGGATATTCCTGACCTCCTCACTATTATTGCTGCTGGAAACACTGCTGGCATCTGACGCGTGTTTCTCTTTGCTGTGGGTTTTCAAGTGAGCCTTCAAGTTGTCTAAGCGAGCGAACTGTAGGCTACACTCAGGGCAGCAGAAAGGCTTTTTGCCCGTGTGCAGAATGCAGTGTCTCCTCTTGGCACTGGAGTCAGAGAAGGATTTGCCACATATGCCACAGGAGTATGGCTTTTCTCCTCTGCAAGAAAACATACATTTTCTATTAAAAACAGAAAGATTTATTACTTCCTGATTACTGACGGAGAAGCAGTCAAGAATAGAGGAAAACTAACTAGACTGAGGGTCATAAGTCATGGGTTCTCCTACTAATTTAAGGACTTGAAGTAAGTCACAAGTTCCAAAGGCTTGCTTCTAATCTTAAAACAGAGAAAAAGGTGGGGGTGGTGTCTAAGGGTGGTAGATGGAATTGGGCTAGGCGTGATAAAATTTTATGATTCCCTATTTATTTTAGATAACGAAGTAAATATTTACATATTAAACATACTGTTTTTGTTTTGTTTTAGTTCTCACAGCCAATTTTTTTACTCTAATGGCCAAATAAGTATATACTAATTTCAACATTAAAATTCGAGTAGCCCCTAATTATTGCGTGTCGTAAAAGTCATGATGCATTTTTTCTGTTTTTCTGTTGCAAAAGCGCGTCATGACTTTTCCGACAACCCAATTTTTGTGATGCTGTCAGAAGACCTACTAAATCCAATCTGAAGTAAGCTGTGTGAACAAAAACATTTATTCAGAAAACATTAAATAAGATTTAAGCCCCTAGCCCAAATAAAAATTCAAGAAATAAAATCAAGAATACAAACTTTTGCTGGCTAGAATCAGTTTTTCTGATACTGCCTAAGTGAGGAATTTCTTTATTGAAAAGATTTTGAAAAATAATAAAGTATACATTAAATTCTACAAGAGTAATAATTTGGGGAAAAGCATTACATAGGTAACATATGTCGCCCTACTGAATGCCAAGGCTGAATGAGGACTCCATGGTGAAAAACATATCATTACCTATGGATTCTGATGTGGGTCTGAAGAGAACTCTTTGCTGTAAAAGACTTGCCACAGATTTCACAAGTAAATGGCTTCTCACCTAAAAAAAGGGAAGTATTTAGAAACATACATTCAACACATAATGAAAAGCCAAAATCACCCCATAGTTTCTCAACATAAAAAAAGGCAATACAAGGCTAGCCAAGTAGCTCAGTGGTTAAGAGCTTGCTCAAGAGTGCGAGCTCTGAGCAACAGGGTCACCGGTTCGATTCTCACATGGGCCCTGCTGAGCTGCCAACAGGTGGCAGGATGGCTCAGCTTAAAAAAAAAAAAAAGGCAATACCACTTGAATCCTAAATAAGCATGAATGCATTAAGCACTTACCAAGCACCTACTACATTCCTAAGCACTGTGTGCTAAGTGCCAAGAAGATGCAGAGAAAGTGTAAGGTACGGTTGTTTCCATTACTTAAAAACTGCAACAGGGAGGTAAGTGATTATATGCAGGAAACAAAGGAACACACCACCTTTTCTCCCATATCATCCACCCTCAGAGAAGTTGCACTCACACCTTACACTTGGTTAGGCAGCCCTCCTGACCTTCACAAGGACCTCTGTGCACAAGGGTGACTTATATATTATTCACATTTGTATCTACATTCCAAATGTATCCAGAATCTGACCACTTCTCGCGATCTTCACTGCCACCCCTGGTCCAGGCACTGGCATCTCTCTGCAGCAGCCTCCTAGCGGGTCTCCCCACTTCTGCACCTGCTTCCGTCTTTATGCAGTCAGATCATTTCACACTCCTGGGCAAACACCCTAATGGTCCCCCTCCAGACATAAAAGCCAAAGCCCTGAGCCTACAAGGAATCACAGATCTGTCAGCCCACCCCCAGTAGGATAAACAGTATGACCAAAAGTCAGGTGTTAGAAATGACCGCGTGGTGTGGACAAAGTGAGGATTTACTCTGAAGTGGAGCTAAAAGGTCGGGCCAGGCCACACAGAGCCATAAATTCCTGGCAGAGGACCTGTGGAACTTCTGGGCCTTTTTAGCAGAACGACATGACAAAATCACTAAGAAAATAGACATGGAAATGATGGGGAGGGTGGGCTGGAGGCAGTAGCGCCTGGCAGGAACTCCTTCATAGTCTAGACACGAGGTGCTGAGGTCTGGACCATGAAGTGCAGGAGGCAGGTAGAGAGGAAGGAAAGAAAGATGAAGTGACAGGGCCTGGGTGGCAGTGGGGCCAGAAGAAAGTTGGTTATAGGAGGATCAGACAATGGCAATTAACAGATGGTGCAGAGACACAATATGACTCTTACGGTTCCACCCAGGGGGAGGCCCACAGAAATATTCAAGTAACTCAAGGGTTTCCCTTCTAGACCCTCTTCTCAGCAGTACATGCTGAGACCCCACCCCAACTCTGATGACTTGTAAATTCCCATCCCAGCTCCTTGGGTATCACAGCTGATTTCCCATCACCATCGGTTCAAACCTGGAATAACTTTTTTGAGTAATGGCAGCACCATCCAACCCCTGCCCCAGCCAGGCCCAATAGTTACATGACATTTTCAGTTCACTCTGTGTTCATGTTCAATTGGCAATTCAGTTCCATACATTTTAACTCTGAATGAAAACAGGTTTGTTTTTCTTTAAAAATCACCCATGTTCACTGTAAAAAAAGACTTGAATAATATCAAGAAGTGTGTAAAAAACACTCCAAATTCCCCTCAAGTGAGAGCTAGTTAACACCGCGATGAACATCTTCACAGACATCTCTCTGCGCACATGAGTATGCAATTTTACACCGTGAGATCTGAAGGGGTTCAGAACAGGCCTCCCCGTGGCATGAGGATTGCTTTGAGCTGAAGGCAATCGAGAGCCTGTGGGTTCACGAGAAACTTTTACCTCTCCCTTGAAGAATTTAAATTGGGGCCTTGCCCATAATGAGAACTATTACCAGAAATAGCTTTTTATGATCTGTCTGTAAGGCAGGGAAGACTTCTAATTACTGAATATCTGAGCTTCTGATCATCCTGGGCATGACCTTCCTCCCCTCTGAAGCCCCAAGGCGCCTTACCTCATCCTTAGCTGAGAATGTCATTATCACCCCATTTTCCCTGTCTCTGACTCTCTCATGCATGTGGTGCTCCCATATGTACCTATGTTATTCAAGTTGGTCATTCTCTCTTATAAATCTGTCTCATGTATCTGATTGCTGGACCAGACAAAAAGACCTAGGAAGGTAGAGGAAAGTTCTTCCTCCCTCACAGTTGGCGCTGTGAGCAGGAAGGATACTTCACTGGCTGGGCACAGCTCACCCCGAAGCTGCTGCAGTAGAAGGATCCAGGGGCCTCACGCACGAGCAGGCAAAGGTCAGAGTTATTGTCAAGTCAGACGCCCAGATCTCTATCTGCAGAGTTCAGTGGAAGGAGAGTGGTGTGAGTCTTTCTGCCCCTCCCTTTTTCTAAATTTAGGAGGAGAAAATATAGTTCCTTGGGCTTAGCAACTTTTGATTATTTGTTGTGAGTACTCTCAGTCTTTATTGATCCTTTCCTTCCAGAAAGGAACAATGGTCACTGTTTTGTGTGTTATGTCATTTGTCTTTGAGAGCTTGGTTTTGCCTCTTTGGTCTCTGCCATCCAGCAGGTGTGCTTATCAGAGTGCATTTGGCAGCCAAATAGACTGGGGATTCCATTCCCGGCAGCTGGGTCTCTTTATCTTTTTGTCCCTCAGTGCCAGCTCTCGGGGAAATGTCATGAGGGGACTTTGTCCTCTTAATCTTTATTGCTTGACTGCCTGTAGCATTGAAGGGCTTTTTACTGTCTTAGAGTACTCTGGGAGTGAAATTCCTGGATTTTGTGAGGGCTGCGTTCTTTACACTCTTGTGTGGCCCTTGACTAAGCAATAAAAAGGCTATTGGTTTGAGTCACTATTAAGATGCTACTTGTCAAGGCAAGAGAGAGGGTGGAGCCTTTAAACTGGAAGAACATCTAAATTAGAAAATTTTTAGAGAGCTCTCATCATAACAGCTGTTTTATTGGTACCTATGGGAAAACCAGATTTTAAAAGTGGATACAAAGAAATATAGTCTGGTCTTAAGAATTCCCTTAATAATAAAAAGGGAAAACATCGAATTTGCAGTCTCCAAATTTGCAGTCTCCTCTTCCCCTCACAGGTCTTACAGATGCAAATAAAAACATTTGGTTAATTAAAAAGAGAAAGGGGAGAGGCCAAAGAATTCTTCTCAACAAGGTAGGAATTTTTAAAGGATTATTCAGAAATAGGTGAATAAAGCAAATACTGATAGGGGTGAAACAAAAAGAAAACAGAAAGGACAGTTACAGGACTCGTCCCAGCAGGGTGGAAATCTTTAGATGGTTATTTAAAAAATTGGGATAAATAAAATGGATGTTGAGAGAGCTAAAACAAAGGATTTCCGAGTAATAAACACTACCAATAGCTAAATGGACCACAGCAGCCCCCTGCTGGCCCGCCAACATCAAAGGGCCCCAAACAAATCCCGTGCTTACCTCACTTTGAGAAACTAAAAAAGCTGGAAGGCAGAAATTATAATGAAAAACCTGACCAGCAATCCTTGGGGCAGCAGTTCGGCCAGTTGATCAAGTTAAAGACTGACAAAAGGTCCAGGGTCCCTTGGCTTGACCCTCTGCTAGAGACCCAAAGCCTTTTTACACAAAGTAGGCAATAGGCAGGGAATAGAAAAGAGAAATTTTCAGGTCTCCCTGATATAGGAAATCCATGAACTGTGGTGTCAAAACCCACTGGTGAAATAATATAGAAATATGAAAACTGATAAAATTACAAAGCAGACTTTAAAGAGCCTATAGGTTAATTATTGTTCTTGCTGCTCCTATTTAAATAACAGGCCAGTTTGTTGAAACTAGACTTATTTTACAAATGAATTAGTCTTAATTTAGCTATTTTTGGTAAAAATGGGGGTGATTTTGGAGAAAAGATTATGTTTCAGTAATATACCTTTGTGGATATTAAATAGTGTTGTTTACTGTCTTCTGAAGTCTTGTTCCTACTCGTAAATTGGAATGGATCCTGAATTCTTCTAGTTCCTCCCAATATCTGACTATAACTCTTCAAACTAATGTTTCCAATTTTTTCTCCCACCCTTCTGACTTGGAATCATTGAGAACTAAAAGTGACTTTTCCCCAAACCCATGCAAGCTAAAGTGAGACAACTTGATATAAACTTCAGAGAAATTACCACAATAGCTCATACACGGAGAACCTTCGTGCCTGTTGCAGAAAGATCACTGGAAACATTCAAAGCGCAGACCAGGAAAACCTATGAGATTGTCACTGCCTGACTCCACTCCATCTGAAGATGCTTCAAACCCGACATCTAGAAATCTCAACTGGTTGCTTTCAGAACTCAGAAACTAGGATTAGAGTCTGTTCCAATTTTTAACCATGGATTTTGTTTCCATACACATGCCTCTTCTTAAATACCTGTCTGCCTGCACCATAGGCCTAACTTTGGAAGCCCACCTGCATTACTGTCTCCTGAAGTGAGATATAATTGTTTGACTGAACTGACCTATTTTTTTTTTAATTGGGTAACAGTGTGTTTTTCCAGGACCCATCAGCCCAAGTCAAGTCGTTGTCCTTCAATCTACAATAGTTGTGGAGGGCGCAGCTCAGTTCCAAGTCAAGTTGCCGTTTTCAGTCTAGTTGCAGAGGGCGCAGCCCACCATCCCATGTGGGAATCGAACCAGCAACCTTGTTGTTCAGAGCACACGCTCTAACCTACTGAGCCACCCGGCTGCCCTGAACTGACCTATTTTTAAGACAGGCTCATTTAATGAGATGAGGAACAATCTATCAACCCAACTTCTGGAATGTGAAGCTTCTCAGGAAATTAGGGGCCTTGTCCATAATAGGAGTTATCACCGGAAATCACTTTTTAGAACCTATCTATAGGGCAGGGCAAACTTCTAATTACTGAACACCTGCTATTATCATACCTTCCTCCCTTCTAAAGCCCCAAGGCAACTAACCTCATTCCTTGGCTCAGAATATCATATATAGCTCATTTTCCCTTTATGACGCTGAATTTCTTACGTATGTGGGGTTCCGGTATGTATGTATGTAATTAAACTGGGTTATTTTCTCTTGTTAGTTAACTAGTCTCATGTCTATTACTAGACCAGCTGAAAGAGCCTAAAAGCATAGAGGAAAGTTTCTTGTTTCACCACTTTTGTCCAGTGCATGCTCGTCTGTAATGTCAAATAAAGCCACACCACTATTTTAAAAGACTATGCTGTGTTTCACTTTGTATTCTGTCCAAAATTTACCTAACTAATCTCTTATTGATGGACACTGAGGTATTGAGGTAGTTTTTAAGTTTTTGACATTATAAATAATCCTACTTATGAATATCCTTATGCAAACATCTTTTCACAATTGGGCAGTTTACATTTTGATTCATATTGGCAAGGTTCTTTCCAGAAAGTTCCCAAGTTATATTCCCACCAACAGAACATAAAGTTGCCCATTTCCTCACATATTTGCCAATCTAATGGGTAAAAAGATGTGGACATTTCTTTTTCTTTGATGATTAATGCAATTAACATTGTTTTATATGTTTTGCTGGCCATTCCTATGTCTTCTTCTATGATGTGCCTTTTATGTCTTCTGCTCAGTTTTCTACTGGGGTACTCAGTATTTTGAATATTAACAGTTTGTCATGTTTGCGTGACTACCTTTTTCGCAGACTAAAAATCTCTTAAATACATCTCTTCCTTCCTCGCTGGACCCAATGGCCTTCATCTTTCTTTCCCCAAGAGCCTGCTAACTGGCTCATCCCCAGGGCCCTCCCACTCTGTCCATCCTCTTGGGGCTGCCTGAGTTCTTTTCAATACACAAATCAAAACATGCCTCCTTTCTACCCAAAGGTCTCCCCCTCATCCGCCTTCACCCTTCTCAGCAATCTCACTCTTGCTGTTCACGGTGGCATTTCCTCACTGTGGCCCTCAGATGCTGGCCTCTCACATCCTCAATCTCTGCGTACCCTGTTCCTGTCTGGGAATGCCTCTTCCCACTTCCTCTGTCCATCAGCACTTACTCTGGCTTCAAGATCCAGGTCTTTCCTCTGGGATGCTTTCCCAGATCTTCCCAGGGAAAGTGAATCATTTCTGTCACCATGTTCACACCTCTACTGTGGCTCGTACTGAGCTTCTTACTAGATCACACATAGACTCTGTAAGGGTATGTTACAGTGAGGGGCTCCCAGATCTCACCAAGATGGGGACAAGCAACATTAATGGGTGGTTTGGAAACACACAGTTGAGGAGATTTAGGAAGCTCCCAATCCAAACCAACAAAATGAGGCTGTGAATGAAAGCTGAATTAATTAACAAGATTATGCGTTACCAGGCAGGGCATCTACATGTGAGTGGGAGCCCATTGGGCAGAATTAGTGTTTATCTAACGCCATGCAAGGGACAGGGACACTGGGGGGCTGGGACTGTATTGTGGGGTCAGAGGTCACTCACCAGGCTTCTCCATGGCCTGGGCCAATTCCCTGAACTTGCCCCCAGGTCACCAAGCAATCTTCTGATCACTAACTTGGTTTTCAGGTACACTGATGTCAGGAAGGCAGTACTGTGGGCAATAGAAAGGTGTAGTCCCTTTGTTAAGACATTTGCTGGTTCATTGGTCATGTGATTGGCTGGCTGGCTCGGTTCCTGTAAACCTGACTGGCTCCAGGTACAGGGACAAGATCTGAGCACGAGAACCTGAGCTCAGCGACCTCACTGGCACTGGCCGTCTGCCTGATGCCTTGCCTCAATTTTAAAACACACCCATTTCCCTCACTGAAAATGCCCTCTTAGAGAAAAGAGCATTTCTTACTTATCTCTGACTTCTTGGGTTTTGGCACAGGACACCTAACCCAGAGACAGTTTTGCACTTAAAGAGCTAAGAGACAACAGTCTTGGGTTTTCCATCTGAGTGTGGCCCCACTGTTGCAACTGGTGCTTCCTGCCCTGGCCTGCTCAGCATGACCTGCCACCTAAGGGCTGTTCACGCCCCTATCTGCAGAGGTGAGTGCCAACTCTGCCGGAAGCCTTCTCTTAAACTTTCCACTCTGCCTGGGGACAAGGGAAGTGGCATGTCAACTCCTTTCAACAACACTGTGCACATTTTCTGTGCTAGAGACAGGTGGGTAGTAATCCCTGCACTCAAAGAGTCCAATTTTTTTATGGGTTTGGTTTTTTATTTCTAAGTCATATAAACCACTTCACAGAGCCCCTTTTGCTTCCTTTTTTACCCATCATATATCTTCCATTTTCCTCTTCTGCTTCTCCTCACAGTAGAGAGTGGAGAAGAGTTTGCTGGGATTATGGAGAAAGGACTTCTGTTCCTTTTTGCCCCATTTCAAGGCCTACATCTCACGAAGACCGGAAGTCTCACCAACACCGTATAGTCCAAGGCACCTCAGCTGACCTCCACCGCCACCCTCTCACTAGGCATTCTCTTCACAGCCTCACATGCTACTTACAGGTAGATGTGTAGGCATATAAATTTATCTCTCTGCTTGCATGTCTCCCGTGAAATCCAGACTCAAATATCCAACGGCCTCCTCCACACCTGCACTTGATGTCAAATAGACATCTCAGACCCCACATGTCCAAAATATAACTCTTGATTTGTTGTTCCTGCATCTCCCCGTTTTTCATCCTTTCAGTTTCCTCTGCCTCCCCTTTCTCTCACCCCCCACATCCAATCATGGGCAAATCACGCTGACAGTACCTTCTGAATATATCCAGAAATGGATCATTCGTCACCACTTCCATTGCTGCCACACTGTGCCAAGCCCCTCATCACAACAATAGCCTTCAACGGGTCTTGCCACCCTTCTAATGGGTGCCTGCACCCCTGCCTCATCCCACCCCACATGGTGATTGGAGCGATCCTATTAAAACACTAAGTCATATCATGTCAGTCCTCTTGTTAAAGTCATCTCACTCAGAATCAAACCCAAAGTCTTTACTATGGCCTCCAAAGTTCTTAAGCCTGAGTGGAGACTGGAGTCAACCTGGGAAAATGCCAATTCCAATGCCATACCTCAGGTCAATTCAATCAGGATCTCTGGGGTTTGGATCAGGCCTTTTCTTTTTCAAAGCTTCTCAGGTGACTGCAGTACACAGGTAGGCTGTGAACCCCTGCCTTACACAGATGCCACCGGCCTCTGACATCCACCTACCCGGTTCCTTCCTATCCCCAGTCCCTGGCTCTGCCTTGGCCACTCCTGCCTCCTGGCATTTCTCCTGCATGTCAGCAACTCTCTCGTCTCAGGGTTTTGTGCCTGCTGTCCCCCCTGCCTAGGAAGTTCCTCTCCTGGACAGCCAGTGGCTCGTTCATTCCCCATGGCATTCAGATCATCATCAAAGATGTCACCTCATCAGTGAGGCCCTCCCAGACAAGACCCCACGTAACAGCACAGCTCCCCTTCCTGCACCTGGTCCCCTACAGTTAATTCTTCATCGCACTTACCCTCACCTAACATCTTACAGTTGTCCTTTGTCTTCCCTGTTCCAATGTCAGCCCCTCAAGAGCAGGGGCTTGTGCACCTCATTCACTGCTGTATCCTCAGGTCCTAGAACAGTGCCTGGTACCCAGTAACTGTTCAGTAAATACGTGTTAAGTGGATGAATTAAATTTCACACAAGTTATTTATGATAATGTCTGTAGAAAGACTGTATACAGAGATCCATTTTCATTAAACTCATGCCCTATCAGACATCTATCTATTTTAAGAACACAAATTACTTTAAGGAAAAAAAACTTACATTTTTAAAAAAAGTCCAAAACAGCATAAACCAATCTGATACATAATTCTAGTAGACAATTTTAACAGAATCATTAAATAATTAACCTATTGGGTTGTCAGAAAAGTCATGACACATTTTTGCAATGAAAAACATAGAAAAAATACATCATGACTTTTCCAACAACCCAATATATTATTAAGAGTATTTTTCTTAGAAAATCTAACAGGTTTATTTATTTATTTATTTTTTAATTTTTTTTTTTTTTTTCGCTGAGCTATCCTGCCACCTGTTGGCATCTCAGCTTGGGCCAGGACTTGAACTGCTGTTGCTCAGAGCTCACACTCTTGAGCGAGCTCTTAACCAACTGAGCCACTCGGCCAGCCCCTAACAAGTTTATTTTTAAGTGCTCCTTTCTCCAAGGTCTAAAAGGTCCACATGTTTACTTTTCTGATCTCAAATGCAAGAATTTGACCTGCCCTAATCAATCCTCTTCCTCTTTAACCCTGAAGCTCGTTTTTCTGGAGGTGGCAATGCTTAAGCTATAAGTACTGGTTCCAGGACAGAAAGTGGAAAGTCCTCAAGTGCCCATGTTACCTTGCTGTTTGTTTCATTTTGCTTCCCTTTCTAAAAGAGTTATCTTGTACTCTTCAATGCTGAAGTAAAATACAGAACCAGACTCAGACTTGTACTACTTTGTGTATTGGATAAATTCCCCTGTATGAACAGTGCTCAGTAAGTAATCTCCGTTTTGCTAATCTACAGAAATGTAATTTCCCACAGATGTTGACAGCATTCTGCCTCAGACTTTTAAATGATCTACTTATAAAATTCCCACCCAATTTACAATAAGCGCAGTCTGAGGAGGGGACTCCAAGTACTTCATTCCTCACTCTCCTGAAAACAGGAAGTACACTAGAAAGGAAGGATGCGGTCGAGTTTTACCTGTGTGTGTTCGTAGATGTTTCTTTAGCTGAGACACGTCCATGAATTTGCGATGGCAGTGGTTGCATTCCGGTAATGAGTGGCCTTGTCGCAACAATAAAAAAAGTGTCAGTGCATATATGCTCTCCCTGCATTTCTTCAGTGATTTGTGTTAAAGCACTTCCCTGAAAAATAATCACTTTAAATATGGTACTTTAATAGAAACAACAATATATATTTTTAATAATTTGGTAACAGTTAGTATTTTCCTATGCATTTCAACTTCCAGCTTCCCGAAGACAGCTGTAAGAGAGCTCCTTAAATATAATCTCCTTTTTCCCTTGAAACACTGGTATGGCTGTGGCCAGTTAATCTCAAGTGATGCTTCCAACCCCCCATTCATGTCTTATCAGTTGGCAGGAAAGAAAAAAGGCCAATGGGTGGAGCCAGGTTGCAGACAGCCTGGACAGACAGCTATAGGGTGGTGACATCTCTGTCACCACTAACAACCAATCCACTGACACCCTCTTGGTCAAACAGCACTTTGGGAGACACCAATTCTGTATGGTTTGTGTGTGTGGCACCAAAATTGTAGTATAAAATTAAATACAAATCACATGGTAGTGAGAATAATACAAGCACATCTAATTTAGGTTGCTTTTTAAGACTTTTCCCTAAATACTCACTTATCTTCCACAATATAAACCTAATGTTTCAGAAATAATTTGTATTTGCCATTTCTCCCCCCTCACCAGTCCAAATTTTCTCATTTTATTGTACCTGTATGAACTCGGTAATGGCTCTTTAGTTGTCTTTTCTGGCTGAAATATTTTCCACACTGATCACAGGTAAAAGACTTCTGTCCTGCCAATAAAAAACAAAACACTAAAACATGCAAACAGTATAAAGACCTGGAATGCTCACCATTTTCTATGAATGATACAAGTGACTTGTCTATAAACCTAATGTAATGCCTTCAGAGTCTACCACAGTAACATAACTGTGCAAAGGTTTGTAAGGCAATAGGGAGTGGTAGAGACTGAGGTAGAACTGGGGAATTTAAGTTTCCCCCAAAGGCATCCAAAGTAAAATACAGTAATGCCTTGGTTTGTGAGCATAATGCATTCCTCAAACAAACTACTATTCATTGCAAGACATTTCTCGTTTACCATGTTAAAATGTATTAGAAATGTTTGGTCTTCTTGCGGAACACTCGCAAACCAAGTTACTTGCAATCCAAGGTTTTACTGTAATTCTAAACTGTGGTGGTTAAACAAAACTCATTTGCACACTGAACTCTTAGCAGCCAGTTTATAAGCCCTACTTTAAGACTCAATGCAGAACTCTTAAGCTACGTTCTGACAGATGCATAATTCTACCTTTCAATGATACCATATGGGAAATGACACCAGGCTGAGAAGAGACCATCTAGATCACGACAACACCCACCCCAGGAATGGGAACCTGGTAGCGGTTGGCCCTCCGGTGCAAGCCCGGCTACCTGAGTGCAGGCTCATGTGCTCCAGCAGCGAGTGCTTGGTGGTGAGAGCCTTGCTACACACGGTGCAGGTGTATGGCCGCTCGCCTGTGTGTATCCGGGTATGGACTTGCAGGGAGTGCTTCTGGGTAAAGCCTTTTCCACACTCATTACACTTGAAAGGTCGCTCCCCTGGAATAAGAGCCCCAGAAAATTGGCGTAAGCAAGAATCTGCACATCTTTTTTCCTCCCAAATTAAAATGACAATAAAGGGATGCCTCTTAAAAAGCACACATCCAAAAGACCAATGAACAGGAGGGTAAGCATCAGCAATAAAATTTTGCAAGCTGGAGCTGATAAATCTGATGCCAGCAGCGAGGAGTGCTAAGATACAACCTGAGTTTTAAGACAGAGCCTCCATAAAGTTCAGGAATTTATGACATGTTATCTCTGAAAATTGGGGTAAGGAGGGTAAATGACAGTTTGTTTCAAAGGTAGTTTGACCCATCAGATCCAGTTTCCTATTCCGGAGCCAGGAGACTGGCCCTCTCCCCAGTAGAAGATGGAGACTGTTCTCTGTAGAGGGTAAAACAAAAGTCTCTGAACTAGGGATTTCCGGATTAGAGGTCTCCCAGCACAGTGGAGTGGGACAACCACTTGGAAAGCAGGTCAGTTTTTTTTTGAGACTCCTCCCAGCCTCTCCCCGTTCCTGCTCTAGACACTGGCAGCCAGGCCTATAGCCTTCAGGTGGTAGAGTGGAGAATCTTCACCTGGAATGTGAGGGCACTCAAGGTAAGAGAACATCAGCAAGGAGGTGGGGGCCAGCCACGCCACCCATTGCAAGGCCAGTGTCTACAGGCTCTCTCCACACCCAAGAGTCTCCAGTAACTTTTAGGAAGCCATTTTTACATGATTATGATTTTTTTTTTTTTTAGGTCACCATTCAAGGAAGGCCTCTAATCTGTTTCAACCTACCTTTGAAACAAATGCCCAAACAAGCAAGAAGGGAAAAGGCAACTTGCAGAAAACAGAAACTGCCCAAGGTGAAGGAAGTATTAAAAACTAACAAATAAGTAAATGTTATTAACATGCTCACAGAGGTAAGATATTAAATTGTGAAACAAAAAAAGAATTCTAATAAAAAAATAATGTAGAGAAAAAAAAGATTACCTACAAGTAAAAAAAAATAAGAGTAGAAATAGAAAAACTATAAAGGCTGAAAGAATAACTGTAAATCTCCCAAAAAGTAGACCAAAAAGTGATGGAAAATAGGAAAGAAAAGATAAGGAAGTTAAAGGATAGGTCCAGCAGGTTCAACAACCAAATAGCAGGAGTTCCAGAAAAAGCGGGCAGAGAAAACAGAGGAGAGAAATCATCTATGAAATAATTCAAGAAAACTTTCTGGACCTGAAAGACATGAGTTTCCAGACTGTATGGATCTACTGGTATCCACCTAATGAAAGAAAACAGATCCACACTAAAGCGATTCACTGCAAAATTTCAGAATGCTGGGGGCAAAGAGGAAGATCCTATATACTATTTTCCTCGACAAATCTTGTAGAACTAGTTAACTCTTTAAACTGTGCTCTATTACAGTTCAACAAATATTTCTCAAGCACCTACTTTGTTCAAAGAACAAGAATTCAGGGTTCTCACCTATCTTTTAAAAACCACAAAGGCTCCAGACAAATAAATTAGAAGCTCTGGGGTTGGGGCCCAGGCACTGGCAAGTTTTAGAAGTTCCCTAGGTGATTCTAAGGAGCAGCCAGGTTCAGAACCTGTGCTAGATGCTGGGTCAGATGACAGCAAGCTGCCGGATGACCGAAGGCTTAAGCATCAGCCCCTGTATGTAAGCTTACAAATAAGTTGAAGAGTATTTAAGTGGTAGGTAACTACAATTGATCCCAAAGCAGAATGAATTAAGTACTTAAGAGAGTATTCAAAGGAGGAAGGGATTCTGGACAGGGCTGCACTATCCAATATGGTAGTCAATGAAATTATTTAAAATAAAAACTTCAGTTCCTCAGTCACACTCACCACATGTCAAGCTCAAAATCTACTGTGGCTAGTGGCTACCACACTGGACAGCACTATACCTGATGACGATGACATGTCCATCATCAAAGAAGAGTCTCTTGGCCAGCGCTGGGCTAGAGGGACCAAAAAGAAACCATTTACAGCTAGAAGGTTGAGTGAGAAAGCTGTCCAGACAGGCCTGGGTAAAAGCATAGCTTTGGTCAAGATGAGGAATGTTCAAGAGTTAGAAAGCAGAATAAATCTGGCTAAGAGCTTGAATTATAGCCTTGAACCAACAACTCCAAAGAAGAAGAGGGATTCTGGAATCCAGCTACCTGGCTTCAGCTCTGTCACTAAATGGATGACCTGGGCAAGTTACTCAGGCTTTCTAGGACTTGGTCTTTTTGTTTGTGCAATGTGGATAATATTACCTATGTCACACGACTGTAGTGAGGATGAAATGCACTAACATGTATAAACGCTTTATTACAATGTCTTCACCTAGAAATTGCACAATAAATGAAAGCTATTATTATCATTACTGCTCCAAAACACATTCCAATACACTGTGAAAGCATAATTACCCGTGTGGCTCCTCTGGTGGATTGCTAAAAAGTGATTGTACTTGAAGACTTTGCCACAGTCTTTACAACGGGCCTCAGGGCCGACGGGGCGCTTTCTCCTTCCACAGACCCTCTTGGCGGAACTCTGGTCATCTTCATCCCCAACAAGTTTGTAATCTTTAAGTTTGATGGATCTCTGAATCCTCCGCTTGCTGAACCGAGTCTGGTGGTCCTGTCCATCCTGGGTCTTAGGATCACAGTTCTCATCTTTTTCAGTGGGCATTCCTTCCTCTCTTCCTGGCTCACAAGCAGGCTCAGGTTCTTCCATTTCTTTTGCTGGAATCTGTTCATTCAGTACCCCATTGTCTACCTCTTTCACCCCAAAATTTTGTCTATTCTGAACTGAATTGTTCACTCTCAGCTGTATTTCTTCCTCTGCAGCCAGTTCTGATTTTCCCTCCTGCAAATTGTTGACTTTTCTTGGTCTTCCCCGTTTCCGCTTTGGAGGATCATTTTTCTTATTAGAAATAACAACCACTGGAGCACCAGCGGCGTTCAAAGTCGCTGGCTTTGGGGAGCTATGGTTATTTTGAAAGTCTGTGTAAGCCTTTACCAGGTCATAGACTTTTAAGAACTGAGCAGTAGCTAGAATTTGTTCTGTACTTTTCTCACTGGCCTGGAGACAGCCTGTGTAAATAAATTCCAGCAGGATACCAAATGTATCGGCTACCATGCCTTCCAGCATATAAATGGATTGGCCAATCTCACCCTCTTCAGCAAACATCATGGAGAAGTATTCGCTACTGGCAGCCAGTAAGGCTTTGTGGGCCCGGAAATGCACATTCTCCACGATTAAAGTAATGTCACAGAGAAAGCCTTTCTTCCTCTGATCCTCAAAACTGGCCAGGACAGTGTCACTGTGCGTGTCTGAGTGTACAACAAACTGCCCAGAAGGCTCTGATGTTTCTGCCATTTTCTTTAGAAGCCAAGAAGGATTAAGCCTGAAATAAGAAAAGGATTGAAAAGGAGTAAGCGTTGTTTAATAAAGTTAATCCCAGTCCGTATGAACCTACTATTCACTACACACTGTTAACTGAAATGTGCCACTTATCACTTCAAAAAATATATCTAAAACTTGGCTTTGGGTTCTCATCCCTGTTGTACCATTACCTAGCTGGGTGAATTTCCAACACCCATGCTACCTCTCAGGGTCTATTTTCTCCTCTGCAAAATGAAGGTATTGGGACCAACCATCCTTAAAGACCTTCCCAGCACTAACTTTCCATAGTTGTACAAATATCAGAATGCGAACTAACATCTCGATTTCATATATTATTAGCCATTTTGTTCTGTGAAAACAAATATGAAAAGGGCGAAGAAAATGTACACGTGTGAAGTGAATTTTGGGGTAGCCGCAATTAAATAACGTAGGGCGCACGGGGCCTCGCTTTGGAAGGGCGGCGTGGATCGTCCACAGCTGGCGCGCGCGCGCGCGCGCGCGGGGCGGCGAGCTGACGATTCCCGGAGCCTGGGGCCCTCTGAGCTGGGAGCGGGGCGCGGGGGAGGCCCTCACCTCCCGGTCCGGACCGGGAAGCAGAACGCTGGGGAGGGGCCGATGCGGCCGCGGGTCCCGCACCCACCGACAGTGGGTCCGGAGCGGACCTACCTCTCCGGGGGAGCGGGGGGGGGGCCCGGCGAGGTCCGGATCGCGGCCGGCCCACCCAGCGGCCTGGCGGGCGCACCCGCGCCGGGCCCTCCCTGGTCTTCAGCTCTGCTGGGCCTGACGCTGGGGTTCCTGCGCCGCCCTGACTTCAGCTCTTTGACCGCCACCGGCACAGCGCCTGCCAACCCGGAAGCAGCGGCATTAGAAGCCGCCTGCGCGAGGACGCCGGACCACGTGGCCCTCGGAGACCACCCCCGGCGGGGCGGGGCGGGGCCTCAGGTCCCTGGCGGAGCCACCAGGGGAGCCCGGGAGGGTCTAGTGTTTGCAGTGAATTGGGGGAAATGGACAGGAATGGTGTTGTCACTCTGCAGTTGTGTAAGTTTTATATCACTTGGGACGCCTAAGCTCACATTAAGATCTCAAATGTGTGACGATTGAATGAAATCGCCTTTACATTCTTCTCCTTTTCCTCCCCCTCTTCTTCCTCCTCTTCCTCCTTCTTCATCATCATCTAATGCTAATATGATAAATATTATTTGACTCCTAAATGTTTCTCACATCTGCCCTCCCCTTTCCTCCCCACTTCCAATGCATTTAGTCCAAAGGAGTGAAGAGAGCTCGCAAGTGAGACAGATCTGGGTACTGAGTGACCTTGGGCAAGTTACTTAATCTCTCAACTTTGTTTACCTTGTCTGTAAAATGGAGATATTGTTAACAATAGTGCCAACTAGGTTGCGTTTCTGTGGGGTAAACGAAATTAAGTATTTAATGAGCTTAGTAAGTGCCTGGTTTAATTCCTGTGTAGTATGATTACAATGATTATTCTTCAGACTTGCATCATTTTTCTTCCATAGACTATCAACGATTTCTAACCAGTCTTAGTTGCAGTGTTGTTCTCTCCAATACACAGAAGTATGAGAGATCTAAGTACAAATCACATCCAGACTGGAGTCATTGTCCTGCTACCATTGTGGCTCCTGTGTACCCTCCTGATAAAGACTTCTTGACATAGTCTACAAGCTCCGCCCAGATCCAGTCCCGTCCTACTTTCCTCTCCAACCCTTGCAGCATTTTCTCTCTCAATCTGTGTTTCACCAATTCCTTCATACCCCCAACAAACACTTCTAGATCCCGAGCATGCCATTTATCACCTTCAAGTTTTTCAAACTGGAGGTATAACTACCAGCCTGGCACTTAAACATTTTTTAAATTTTAAAAATTTTACTAGTTTTTATTAAAATTAGTCCCTTCTCTTAGGTTTCCCCTTTGTCTTGAATTGCCTCTAAACCCCAGGATTTGAGGGGATCTAGTGGGATGGGGGAGGGGAGGCTCTGCCTGACTTCTGCACACCAGCAGGAAGTCAGTCTGAGGAGTTGACTGCACCACTGTGTCTCACTGCCACAAGTATAGCAATAAAACACAGGTTCTCCACAGAGCTTCAGTATAACAACTGAAGATGTCTGAGTGCCAAGTTAATTCAGGTATTTCCACTCCCTTGTTCAGTCATTGCTCACTAGAGCACAAGCTCTGTGAGGGAAGGCAGGGTCTGGAGGATCTTCCAGCATCAGCCAGTCGACCTTTCTTCAAGGCAATTTTGTTTAGGACCCATGTTGACTTGTCTTGAAATTGTTGGTTTTGGTTAAGGCCATCTGGTCTACCATCAACAACTCTTCATAACTTTAAATCTTGCAGAGAAGGGTTTGGGGTTCCAGTCATTCATTCAAAATATATTTATTCAGTGCCTACTAAGTACCAGGAATGTGTCAGGTGCTAGAGATACAGCAACGGGCAAAGTCCTTGCCCTCATGAGGCTTTTCCACTCTTCTATGGGAAGAAAGGACAAAACTACAAGTAAACAAATAAATAATTTCATTTCAGAAAGTGTTAAGTTTTATAAGGAGTGGTGATAGAGACTGATGGGGAAGTGAAGTCAAGATAGGGTTACATTTGAGCTGAGATCTAAATGATATGGAACCAGCTGTGTGAAGATCTGGAATAAGAATGTTCCAGACAAAGGAAAAGCAAGCATAAAGGCTCTAAGACTGGAAATGAGCTTGGTATTTTTGAGGGACAGAAAGGCCTGTGTGGCTGGAGCACTGTGAATGAGGTGGAGAATGGCAGGAGATGGATTGGAAGTAAGTTGGCCAGATTTGCAAATAAAAACACAGGGTATCCAGTAAAATTTGAGTTTCAGATAAACAATGAATGTATCATGGGACATTCTTATACTATAAAAAATTCATGCAATTATCTGAAATTCAACAGAGCATCCTGTGTTTTATCGGACAACCCTCATGGAAAGGATGCCTAATTCCGACAATATGGGCAGTTAAGATTATGAAAAACTTTTCCACTACAAGATAGCTAGAAATGCCAACAGAAAATGCATAACTGAGCTTAAAGGAAAGTAAAGAAAATCTCAGGTAACAAAAAATAGAATTAAAATTATAGTAGTAAGCTAACCTCAGAGCCATGGAAATCCTAGGGGCCATGGGAATTTTATAAAACCAGGACCTAGAGGCTTAGGCTGTAATAGATAAACTGGGACCAGGAGACAAGGCGCTCACAAAAGCCTTTCGTGTGTGTGAAGTAGGGAGCTGAAACACAGAACTCAGGCTCCTCAAAAGGGTTACAATCTCCATGAAAGGGTGGGTTAGAAAAAAATTTGCTTGCTCTCAAAGGAAGATAGCAAGAAAACGTATCTTCCTTGGCCTAGGCTCTAGGTGAGGAATAAAAGCCTCCACTGAAAATTTGTGACCCGTCAAAATTTTAAAAATAATTACCCCCCTCAAAATTCTCCTAGAAATTAAAATGTAACCAATGACATTTAAAATTCAATGGATAACATTTTGATACAGTTTATACATAACCACACAAAAAAACCCCATGGACAGATTAAACAGTTGAGGAGAGAATTTATGATTTAGAAGATAGATCTGAAGAAATTGCCCAGAAAGCTAGTCTGAAATAGAGATGGAAAGTATGGAAAGGATGTTGAGTGATATAAAGAACAGAATGAAAGTGATTTATCATATAATCTAATTGTAATTCTAGGTGCAGACTAGTGAGAATGAGAGAAACAATATTTAAAGATAATGATGAGAATTTTCCAGAATTGGTACAAAACACAAATCTACAGATTTAGGAAGCACAACAAATTTCAAGAAGGCTAAACAAACAAAAAAATAATCCACAGCTAGATACATTGTAGTCAAACTGCAAAACATCAAAGATAAAAAGATCTTAATAGAATGCAGAAAGAAAATACTAATTACCTCTAAAGGGAACCCAGTTACACTTATAGCTAACTTCTAAACAGCAACAGTGAATGGTATTTTCAAAATTCACCAATTTTTAAATCCAGACAATGAAAGGAGTAAACAAAATTCAGTTTTTCAATTTTTCAATTTTAAATATTATGTTCACAGCAAAATTGAGCAAAACTGCAGAGAGTTCCCATATACCTTCTGCCCCACATATGCACAGTCTCCCCTACTATCAACCTTTAGCATCAGAGAGGTACATTTGTTATACAACTGTTGAACTATAATAAATACATTGACACAGCATTACCCCCCAAAGTCTATAGTGTACATTAGGGTTCACTTTTGGTGTCATACATTTTATGGGTTTGGACAAATGTATAATGGCATATATGCACCATTACAGAATAGTTTCACTGTCCTAAAAATCCTCTGTGCTCTACCTCTTTCCCTGCTAACCCTTGGAAACCATTGATCGTTTTACTGTCTCCATAGTTTTGTCTTTCCTAGACTGTCATATAGTTGGAATCATACAGTATGTATGATTGGCTTTTCAGATTGGCTTCTTTTACTTAGTAATATGCATTTAAGGTTCTTCCATGTCTTTTCATGGCTTGGTAGTTTGTTTCTTTGTAGTGTTAAATAATATTCCATTGTCTGGATGTACCACAGTTTATCCATTCACCTAATGAAAGACATCTTACTTGCTTCCAAGTTTTGGCAATTATGAGTAGAGCTGCTATAAGTACCTTTGTGCACGTTTTAGTGTGTACATATTTTCAACTCATTTAGGTAAATACCAATGAGTATTATTTATGGATCATATGGTAAGAATATGTTTAGTCTTGTAAAAAACTGTCAAGGTGTTTTCCACAGTGACTGTACCATTTTGCATTTCCACTAGTAATGAATCAGAGTTCCTGTTGTTCCTGATCCTTTCTGGCATTTAGTGTTGTTGGTGTTTTCGATTTGGGCCATTCTGATAAACATGTAGTGGT